AGGGACGTCCCTAGCCGAAGCTAGGTACTCATTTTCACCTGAGTGAAGTGAGGAAAGTCGTGTAAAGTACCTTTCCCAAGGGTACAACGTCGGGGCGCATGTTCGGACTTGTTCGGGTACGACCTACCAACATCACATGACTTTTTACAAATTTCACAGGGGTCTATCTATCAACCAGTCTCATTCAGTACTCACCATAGTCTGTTCTACCACTTTGAAGAGAAAAAACTACATTCCAATAGAAAATTTTCTTTTTCTTTCAACTTTTATACCAGCTTTCTCACTATACTATACTAATGAAACCCCCCAAATTCACACACATACAGCTAAGAATACACAGCTGGAAACCCCCTGCATACCCCAAATCCCCTTTCTGTAACAGAATATATTGTCTGTATTACAACCATGCCATATACAGCAATATCCATCCTTATTTTCGTCCCAACAAACAGTAAAAATGACTATTTTTGTGTGCTGAGGGGGGGGGGGGGTGTCCCTGAGGCCATTTTGAGGCCTCTACTGCGCAACGCAAATGTGGTGTCTGCCCTGGTGGTTTCCGCTACACCAACTCACTACTTAACACTCTCGGGGTGTGACAGATCAAAAGTAATGACCAACGGGGTCTGGACCTTCTTAGAAACTAACTCATAACTGGCCGGATCTCTGCTGCTTATCAGATATTTCAATATAAGGTAACACTATACTGCCGGCCCAAGGACCAGGTACGCCGGTTGTTAGTTGTCTTGTTTCCAATATTGATATGTAAACTCTACATTACGATGATCGACTGTCGACGCTAATTAAGGTGATAGGGCGGCTCCTTACATCCCCCCTTGCTGTACCCAAGCGACGTCCTCGGTGCTGGTATTAGGTTACATCGAGTAAATACGAGTACACGTATATATCATACAAATCATATTATTGGGTTAACAAACAAAACAAAACATATACGAGTAATACAATCATCGTTGTTAGGTTCCTACAGAAGTATTTCAAAACTTGGTACAATCAGTATCGGAAATCAACACGGGCTCATATTCGAATCATCATTACACAGATCAATTCAACACTTTCAACACAGGGCATTCCAGAGGACTGTCCAGAGTGGCTGACAGATCTGATGAAAAGGTGTTACCACCAGGACCCTGGACAAAGACCACTTTTTCCTGGTAGGTATATACATACTTATGTCTAGTAATACAATCATCGTTGTTAGGTTCCTACAGAAGAGCTTGTTCTCAGCATTTTCTAACACCCAGGCTCTTCCAAGACATGGAGGAGTGGAATTTGTCTACATTGACTCAATATAACGGAAAGTATACAGATAACAGACGAGGATCATAGACGCAGGACGCGTACCCCCCCCTTTTCTGCCGTAAAAACGGCTTACACCAACTACAAATCACTCAGAACGTGAGAAGGTACAGGAATGATACCCGCTAGCAAGAAAAAATCGGCCAGAATAGTAAATTTGCCCTGATAAGAAGACCATTAAATGGCCCGTCATTAGGGCCTTGTACGGGACCTAGCCCTACGACAGGTTCCGAAGTGCAAAGTTGCCGAAATCTCAGCAACCGGTTGGATTTGTGGAATAAAATTTGGCCAAGTTTTACATCTTGACTAGTTTTATCGTATAAACGGAAAAAAATCCAAGGTCAAGTTCGTTAAAGGTCGCAGTACACAGTATATATGGGCGAACCCCGTAGTCAAAAGTAGTCCGGCAGAAAGTAGTGCTGCACAATACTAGAGAAAGGGGCAGAGATTCTTGTGTGTACGCCAGCGAGGCGGATACTGCGGTGAATGGTAGTGGAATACGTCAGGTTTGAGACTGTAAAAGTTGAATTTTCATGTTCGTTCGGTTAGCGTAGATTCTGTCTTGATACTGTCACTGCCTAGTGCAGTGCCTTTGCAATTCCGTGACCTTCCGCATAGCGCTTTTAAAAGATTGCGTCACGAGTGAATCCAGGTAGCTTACTGTTATCATAGAACAGCTCTACGAAGTTTCTTTTTTTGAAAGTTTACAGCATCACTGAGTACAGTCAGTAACGTGAGTCAAACGACAAAAAAAATTCAACGCAGAAACAACTTAATTTTATTGACAAGATTGAGGTAATTCAAAATATCTCTTATTATAGTGCTAATAACAGTTTCATTAACTTGAGGTATTTGTTTTTGCATAACAAATTCCTCTATAGGCTAATCATCTTACTCATGAATTAAGGGCTCTTTTATTATTTTTCATAATTCCAAATGATTCATGCTTTATCTTCTGTCAAGTCTAACAGTTGAACTATCCTTCACCCCGCTGACTAACCTGGTCACCAAAACAACTTTGGTGACCAACAGCTACCTTAGCAGGTTGAAGGTTAATTAATTTATACATATCAAAGTGGGCGTGACATTTGCTGGGGCGGTATCCATGTAGTTTCCCTATTATTAGGACAATGGTACATTTTTCATAATTTCTGTTTCAAAAACATTGTCTAACTCCAACATACCCTATTCTGAAACACTAAAACTTCAAGCAGTTTGACATTTCTATTAATTTCCACCCTGCTTTGATGTTGTAACTGCATATTCTCTAAACATTTCAACTGGTCTGTCCCCAGCAATTGTGACGTGAACCCGATTTTCTTCAGCTCAAGACTTCAATACACAGTCAACCAAGAACATCAGAACTTTAAAACATTTCTAGATACAAAGAATCACGAACTTGAATCTGTGAACAGGTAACAAGAAACTTAACATAGCAACAATATCATCCGACACACTCTTTATAATGAACACATGTTGAATAGAAACATTAGCCAGTGGCTTTATGAGTGTCACTCTTATTATACAGTTTCCAATTATGATCAACTTTACACTTTTTTCTGAAATCATGGACTTACTCTGCCATTCGATATTCCAAAATAACAAATATGATAGATCATTTTTTTAATCAATAACTCAAAAACAATATGCAAAACAGAGCTATCAACAAAGCTGTCTGCTAACTCTACTGGTCTGTAACATGTCCCAACACTTACAAATAGAACTATTTTTACTTTCATAGCCAAGTTCCACACAGCCAAGCTGTAAAGTTTTCTTCTCTGTGACCGACAGAAAGAACTTGAACATACCAGCATCTAAAGATGCTGTCAACATGCAACCTGAGGACTTTTCTTCATCAACCACAAATTGCCGAACATGATTTTGTCAATTTTAAGGCGACCGGTAACCTTGCATAGCTGTATACAGTTACACAATGCAACACAAGCTCAATACCTCTGACTCTCCTCTCTTATGGTTCTTCATCAACCCTGAATGTCTACGCATGATTCTCGTCATTGTTAGAAAGCTGGAAAGTTGGATACACATATTCAACCGTCTCCCTCACATAAACCCATCCGGCTATTCACAGAGTAAGTCAGCAGGAATATAAATAGGTGATAGTAGCTTGAAACCATTCTTGAATTGCTTTAACTGTAAATACATTCACAGTAGGATTTCCCATCACTGGCAGAACGTACTGCACCTGTGTGAAACCTGGATTTTCTTCTAGATGTTTTGTCAGAGTTGCATCAGAATTTTGTCTGTTGCATATATGAAACCCATAGGTGGGATGTCATCCCTAAAAAAGCTAATACGACCCTGACATACGGATGCTCAGTACGATGCACATTAGGGGTTTCAAGTAGCCTGACTAAATCTGCGCTCCTAGCGGCCGGCCCAGTATTACACCAGGGGCGGCTGGTGTAATACCGGGCCGGCCGATAGGAGCGCAGATTTAGTCAGCCTAGGGTTTCAAGCAGTTGAAGTTCTGCCAGCATAGTTTGGATATCCCAAACAACAATCACATTCCTGACTAATCCTGAACCACAGACAGCTTACTCTGCATAAAGTGGGGCTTCTTCCTTCAAGTTACCCAGTTGAGTGTTTACAACATTTGTGCCCTACAAATACATGTGGTTAATTTTCTGCTTCCATCTCTCACAACATTTTAAAGTTTTCTTAGAGCCATGTTCACTAACAGTGGAGTCACTATAAGTTGAAAAAATTGTTTGAAACTTGAACTTCTTCTTGTGGAATTTAGAATCTGCAATTTTTCTCTAGGAGAATTCGTAATTACGACTCTTTGTGTTTTGATTTCGATATACCAAAAGGTGCTTGAAAACAAGTCGACACAGCAATAACACGCTATGCTCTAGAAAAAAGTCTTACACTCAATAAGCACAAAAGTTGATTAAGAGTGGTGCTTGAGAATTAAAATTAATAAAAAAGAAAGCAGAAATGCACAAGTTATGCCATCAAACGTGAAAAAGACCACATCCTTCATAATTGTCTTTTCTAAATTACAATTATAGAAATCACAAGTAACTGGAATATGGTTGAGAAAAGACTACCTGAATGATATTTAAGCAAAGAACAAAATCAACTTCAAAATCAAGGTGGGTCAAGACATAAGCCCATTACACTTTAAGTTTAACAGGTGTACAGATGTGCTTTGGTTTTCTAATTCCTACTTGTCTGGCAGTGCCCTAGCTAGTGTGTCTAAAAGCCGTCCCATGTCAGTGTGACTCTGTTATCTTGCTAAAAGGACATACACAGTACAGTACTGTACGTTGTCAGTTTAAAATGGGAAGTGACTCAAGCAGCTAAAAGGCTCCGTTAAATGGTCATCAGTGATTCGACTTTGAGTTTACAGTGGATCAACTTCAGCTGATGCTTTCTGGTGTCAGAATGTAGAAATACTATAGGTCTCTGCTTTTTGGGTGACTTATTATTGTATGGTGCAGTGGCTGTGTAAGAAAGGCCCCGAGGGGTGATGAATTTGCTGCTTGTCATCTTGTTAACATCTTGACCTTGCTATGGGATGTACTGCTGATTTAAGTGTAGTACCAGAAATCTGCACTCATCCACAGTCAACTAACACAAATATTGGTTTGACTGTAGCTTTGTTTAAAAAAAAAAAGAGTGAAAATGGAAACTAACTTGTAAGCAGTCATAAAACATTTTAACGTTTCTTTCTGATTTCTTGCTGTTTGTATCGGCTGCCAAGCTGCATCAGGACGTATTCTGCTGCGCACTGTTTAGCGTCGTCTGGATTGGGGGCTAGTTTATTAGGTGTGAAGGGGGTATTAGGGCCAGGAGAACCTGAGCTGTAGCCTGGGATGTTCACTTTAAAGAAGAAAAGCTGTCTGTTCTGCCCAGAGGTGGAATGGAGGGTGTACATGGGGTTTCCCCACTGATTTTTCCTGCACAGCTCCTCAAGCACCTGTACAGCAGACTTACTGGGGCTTCCCGGTGGGGCCTGGGTGTGTAGAACCCTGTAGAACCCCCTGCCCATCCCCTGCCAACCACCCCCTCCCCTCATCCACCCAGCCCCTCGACCCCTTCCCCCCATAGGGGGCATACCGCCCAGACCGCCCATCATCGGGGCCCCTAACGGATCAAACTGATGGTACATCGGAGGGAGGAAAGGGGGAATCATGAAGCTCTGATCGTTCATCTGCCGAGCCCGCCGCGTGTTTCTGTCCACCGGCTTAGCGAGAGTCACTTCGAGCTTGGCACCTTCCAGGAGATTTCCGTTCATGGCTGTCATGGCTGCCAGGGCGTCTTCTCGCGTCTTATAGTGGACAAACGCGTAGTCACGGATTTTTTTCACTCTGGCCACAGTTTCTTCTTCCCCCACCTCGAAGGCTTGTTTGATTGCGTCCTCTGTTGTTGTGAACATCAGGTTGCGGACGTATAACACCTTGACCTTTCTCATGACTTCTTCGTCGACCTCCGGTTCCGGCTCGGCCCAATCCACGGCGATCTGATGCCCCCACAGCTGGATCCGGCCTGGGATCAGCTTCCTGCGCGCCATGGCTGCAGCCCGGTGGCTCTCGTATTCGACAAACGCAAATCCACGATTCTTGGTTTTGTCTGTGACCATCGGGTACACGATTACGTTCACCACCCCCTCGGTGATCTTTGCTATCTCCGTCAGGATGTCGTCTTTCGTTTTGTTCTTGGGGATTCCTCCGACAAAGAGTCGGCAGTTGTCCACGCTCTTGATCACCCCGATGAAGCGGCCTTTACGAATCTCGTAGCTGTTCAACTGTCGGACAGCGTTCTTGGCGTCCTCCTTGTTGGTGTACACCACGAAGGCGTAGCCTCGATTGGACCCGCTGAAGTCCATCATCAGCCGCAGCTCGAAGATCCGTCCGATCTTCTCAAACACGGGTACCAGCTCATCTTCGTACAAGTCTCTGGGAAGCTTGCCGACGAAGACTTCGCAGCCGTGCTGTGGGGCAGGTCCCTCCCAGCCAGGCGGGGGCCGGCCATAGATACGTTGGCCGTTCTCCTGGACGAGGCTGTAGCCAGTGCACCGGGTGAGGGTGCGCAGGGCCGCCTCCTTGGGTGCTCCTTCGATGGTCTTGATTGCAGGGGCTGGTGGAGTGGCAGACATGATCACGTACAGTTGATTCAGATCTGTAGGGAAAGATGAGGACTATATTAGCCTTTGTTACCTTAACCCTTCGGGCACGATCAGCCACGATCGTGGCTTTCCCTGCCGAGCACGATCGGCCACGCTCGTGGCTCATTTCCATTGGCCACGATCTTGATCGGGTATCTTCGGCTAGCGTCACATGCATGCAAAGGCTACAGGGTGGGTGGGAACCAGGGCTAGGGGTGGGAAACTCATTATCACCCTGCTGAGCTGACAATGGAGGGTGATTATCTCACTGCTGATAACATTTGCAGGGCTGTCAAATTAATAGGCATGAGCCTCCAAGAGTCCAAGGGCCCACATGGTAAGTACAGTGGCAAATTTTGGGCAGAGGGAACTTCTTTACGCAGTTTGTAGGCAAAATTTGAAAAAAAAAGTGTTCAAGAAAGTTACTTATGATCTCATTATCTATTGTACATGATGGATATTTGGTTGATTTTTATTAAAAAGAACTGATAGCTGAACTGGGGGGGGGGTTCCTCCGCAGGACAGAACATGCAAGTGGAATGATGGTGATGATGACAATCCATGACGTAGGACAGGGGCATCTTCTCTTGGTACACACACCAACTGTTAGTTTTGCTGTGTGCCACACTGTCATGAATACTGGTGACCCACTTCAACAGTTGGCAGCGTGGGTTTTCAAAATGGCAGAACATTTGAATTTTGATGCACTGAGTTTTTCATGCAAGTGATGATTTTTTCCCTTGTTTATATTGCTATAAAAGTTGTCGCCCATTCAAACATGTCAATTTCATAATACATGTAGTACATATACCTTGGGACTATACACATATAATTATGCATAACCCTTGTGACCATTGTGCATAATCTTACAAAACCAGGGCTTGAAATACTTTTTTAGGTGCATGAAAAATTTGTGTCAGCAAAAATGCTACTTGCAATGTGGCAATGTGAAAAACCTATGTGCACAATCATATATGATATAGTTTTCAGTGTGGTAAAGACAACAGCTCTCAGTATATGTAGTATAACAATTTATTGAGGAAAAACATGTTTTCAGCTTATATATAGTAAAATCTAATACAGCAAACGCTATTCTATTGCTTTGAGAGATCCCTGACTGCACTACCTAGAAGTTTGCAGTTTGTAAACATGAGATACCACTCTGGTAATTTTCAACTGCTAGTGTCAATACAAGTAATATTGCAAGTTTAGACTCTGATATCTTTACTAACCTGAGTGCTGACCAATTTGTAGCGGCAACCCAAATATGAGTTGCCGATACAAGTTGAATGGCACCCAGACTATGTCTCGAAGCTCGTGTGGATGAACTGTCCCAACTTGTTTTTTGAGAACTTAAGTATTGTATGACTTCAACTTGAAGTCGACTTAATTTTGCTTATGTTCACTCCTACTCGCACTATAATTAGACAGGAAATTCGGGGGGACTTTTCCGGATACAAAAGTTGGGACGTGTGCCTGATAAACAAAAGAAGGACTGACATTCTGAAGTTGACTCTATTGGCCCGTAGGCCCAATGTCCCAGTGTCTTTTTAGTTGTCCCAGCCCATTATTAATTAGGCCTCGCCCAGCCTAAATTTTTAAGTGGTCAGTGGCCATTGGACCACATTTAATTTCGAGCCCTGTTGGTACATGTATCTCAAGCCCTGATAACACTTGCAACCATATATAATCCTTGGGGTTTCAAATTTTTAGGTAGCCTGCCCTTAGTGCAAAAAAAATCAGCGCTGCGGAGTGAAAATCCAGATCCAGGCTAGCCCAGCGGAGTGGAGAGGTCACCATGAAAACGGTAAATGATTCTGTATTTTTTCTCATGCATACTTGTATCACCAGGTATTGCTACAAAATAGGTTGCAGTTCCACAGCCCGGTATGCGTGAATATGACCTTATAAGTTATATCAGACATTCTGCCAAAGTGCTCTGCACAATACTTTATGGGTTTTGTGCCGGTGCAGTACGTTTTGCTGATGTGCTCAACTTACCTAATCAATTAGCATTTCTTACACATTTCTAATGTATTATAACTTGTAATATTTTGGGCTCTAGCCAGAAGACATGATCCAATAAGAAATCCACATTTCTGATTGGGTATGATTCCAACCTCAGTCATACCAGTGGTGATTAAATCCTTGGAAACTGCTGCTATAGTGCCCAGCACTTCACAGCACCCTGGGTATGAGATCAGACAAAATGAGTTTGCCTGCCATCTTTGCAAAAATTGACAGAGTTCAATGTTTATACAAAGCAGAGTCAAGAGAATGTGTACTTGATGTACTTTATCGATTTCTTTTGCAAAGAATACCAATTTGTTTTACATACAGTCTCATCATGGAGGTAAAATCTCATTTATACCTCAACAGTGAACTAATCATTTAGTAATATCATGGAGGTAGAATTTTTCTACCTCCATGGTAATATTGGCATGAACAAACTAGGATGAGATTTTACCTATTTTACAGAAAATTAAAAATTGGTGAACTGTCTACAGGTATCCTTCTGTGCAGTTTAGGCACAGCTGGCAGGAGCCTGGATGCCAGCTGTGGCCAGGATGCCTGGCAAGCTAGGCCCTGAGAGCCAGTATGCATGAGCTAGGATCTAATCTCAAAGCAGATCATATGGTGGCAGCTGGAAAATGCCCTTGGCAATTAACACCCATGTGCAAAGAGGTGAAATAGTCATTTGAATATAAAAAGGGCAGGTCTGGGCCTATTATCTCCAAATACAGAATTGTTGACTGCATGCATAAACCCCCTTGATAGAAACAGCCTGCTTGGTGGAAACAAGGAGATGGAAATAAGAAAGGCAAAAAGAATAGTAAGATTTCTCACATAACATGGCTACATACTTGAGAACGAGAAAAACATCTGAGGATATAGATTATGTAAATGAGGGCATAATTTGCATAATTAATGGCAAATTCTTATAATTCCATAGTTGTAACTGCTGCACCCTGAATTTCATACTTGTCACATTTGGAAGTTAAGTGAGGGTGAACATCAATAAACATAATTTATTCAAACCATGACCTCATTTGTATAATTTATGAGGAAGTGTTATAATAGCCTTTTTGTTATGGCTGTCATTTGTTAAGGCTGTCATTGGGTGGAGAATATGATCAACTGATATAATCCATACAAATGAGGCTCTTATTTACAAAATCAATGATTAAAATTGTATAATTCGTCACCCGCAAATTTGGCGAAGGTATGAGATCGTGGAACTCTTGGTAAGACATGTGAAGCCTTTCTTGAGGCATATACATGAAATTTTCACTTCTTCCAGTTGAATAAAATAGAATCTACTCTTGGACAACTACCGGAAACTTTGTACCAAAGGGGAGGGAGCAGGGGATCATATGTCCATTGGATCCTGTACAAAACAAGGAACAAAAACAGGCTTCAAAGTACACTTACCAGAATTGCAAGGTCCCAAAAATTCCATCCACTGGACAGCTAAACATGTCTAGTTGCCGTTTTTGGAAAAAGCCCGGCTTCGACTCCTGCCTGTTAAAGCGCTAGAGCCCTTTAAATGTAAACAACCACTGACCTTTGAACCTGCAGCATAGAAACACACGACTTGTGCTGGAAAACCCCCTCCCAAAACATGTAATTCTATAGCACCACCAATGGCAAAGGTCACCATTTCTTTCTGGATTTCAAAAGTAAACACATGTCTGACCTCCCTACCTGAAAAACTGGCCAAAATGGACCCAGGATTCAACCAGGAAAAAATTCTCAAAAATAATAACACTAAAGTCTTTCCTTAGACTCATGTTACCTTTGCCAAGATGGTAAACGCTTTCAGCACTGCACAGGGGAAGGGAAGATTGTCCTTCATAACATGGACAGCCTGAATTAGAGCTGTGTACCTAAACAAATTTTAGGTACAGGTACAGGTACAGGTACAGGTACACAGGTTTAGGTACAGGTCCGGACCTGAACCTGTACCTGAACAATTCGACCAATTTATATGCTCTTCTGAACTCCTTCAATAACAAAAAAAACATAAATAAACTTGATAGTTAAGGTTTATTCTTTGTTTATGGCGAATGCTCAGATAAAATATAGGCAAAACTAAGATATTTTTGTTTTCATGAACACACTGTCCTTACACAGGCACCCATTGTTAACCAGCTATTTAAACATTTGAGGTCACAAATAGGCATAAAATTGGTGTGAAATTGTTTAGGTACAGTACCGGTACTGAGGGATTAGGTATTTTGGACCTGTACCTAATCAATTTTTCCGGTACAGTATCGGTACTGCGTACCGGTACACAGCTCTAGCCTGAATGGGCACTACATGTATACAAAAAGGCTGCAGGAAAATTGTTGCCACTTCATACCCGTAGGATAACTCTTGTCAGAATCAATATGCAAAGTGAGCCAATTTTAGTAGCATTGTGCTCAGTAAAAAGTTTCAAACCACCTCCCAGATCTAGAGGAGTATAAATTCAAGGGGATTCATTCCTCAAGCTAACCAACATCTTGCACACACAGTACAGTCGTCCCTCAGTAAGACATCTGCAGCCGCATAGTTTGTTCCCGTTTAGAAACTTCTCGTAACATGACTGTAATGATAAACTTCTATGCAGCAGAGAAAAACCCAATGCTTAGGCCACCTGTGACAGTTTCAACAAAATCCTTTTAGGATCTATTTTGCCAGATAGGACTGATTTCCTCTGTGAACATATTTGAGTCGGGTCAAGATTTAGGTCCCGTTGAATTGTGTGAAGGCTGATATTTTGCGGGTTGTAACATTCACTAAAAACACTGTGATCCCACTCGCCATTCAACTTTTGAGCGTAAAGTTAGTAACTTGGGGGAAAATATGTAACTGCATGTTTTCTATTCATATTTGATTGGCAATATATTCACAGCATCTGACAAGGTCCATGTCTAATGATGATACTGCACATTAGAGCTGATCGGTTACTTTTGTGGTACATTGCATCATACCAGGTGTCGGAAGGCAATCCATTTTGTGTTCACACTCGCGGTTACATCCGATCCCGCCGCAAGTGTCTTGAACTACCTCCTCGAGGTGGATTACTTTTGGATTGGGATGGGAGAAAATCAATCTGGATTTGAGTGTTCATACTGCAAAAACTGATCCGGATTGACTGAATTTCAATAATTTCGATCGGGGTCCGTGGTCAATCCGGATCCATCTTTTTGAAGGTGAACGGGGTCTACAAACAGAGAGAAGTTGAAAACCTAATAAGAAGGGCCAGTTAAACCTTGGCCACCCTTTGGCCAGTGTAACTCACCAGCATCATCCATATAGTGTTGTAACAAACCACACCTTTCGAAAAAAGAGTAGGGGCATGCCCTGGTGTGCGATAGTCCAAATACTAGTACTTATCTGATTATTCACTACGCACAACTGTCAAGAGTAGTGTGAAATTCACACTGATGGAGATCCTAAAACAAACAAACAAACAAACTACAACACAACAGATATAACAGCAAAACCATTATGGTAAACAGAGCGTAACTTGGAAAATTCCAAGTCTCACCATACTGCCCAAACTGCGACGCTCTGGAGACCACCAACCACTACCTGTACCACTGCCCCCGCTATGAGAACGAAAGGCATCACATGCTGATGGAAGCAGACAACATTCACGAGACCAACAACACAGCAAAGGAAGACAGAGACACGGACATCGTCACACTGGCCGGAATGAGAGTAGGACTTCCTGAAGGAGCAAACAACCAGATGTACCTAGCCCTCTCCCGGTACATCGAGAGTACGCGCCGTTAGATTTATCCCCAGGGGGCAATCGATGGTTGCTACGTAATACATCATTTTTACCTACAGTTTGCAATTTTAGCCCATCAGGGTGTAAGGTGGCTGAGAAGGCTTGAATTACATACGAGATCGCTCAGCTCGATATCCGTGATCGAGGCTCCGTGTTGACACAAGCTGACAGGAATTTTCACGGCTCGTTTGCACCCAATTCACCACACGACTGGGCGGGAACGGTTCAAAATCACTCGTCAGCGCTTGTCCCTCTTTCTCTCTACACACACTTCTGTGTCAGTATCTAAAACTAAATAAGCAACACATGTGCTGAAAACAACAACGCAACCGGGGACGTATAGATTTGCTAGAATTACGCTATTAAGTGTAAATTTGGGGTAAAAAAGCGTGTTAAAAACGTACCGTTGCAAGGTGACGACGCTTAAAACGCCTGATCTCGTTGATTGTGAACTTTAATTTAAAAAGAAAAGGCTGGTGGTGAACGTGACCCCACGCGCGTGCCTCGGTCGCCTGCAGCACAGGGAACCGTACAGAAAAGGGGTGTGTGATTTTTATAATCATATCAAAACAAACTTTGAAAGAAAGACAGATACCCAACTATGTCTTTTTAGAAATGTTCATGCAGTGCAGACGAAATATAGCTGCACTAGATGCTTAATTGTTTAAAATGGTGGAAACGTGAAGAAGAAAAAAAAAGAAATAGTTTTACAGGCAAACCTCCCTTAGGATTGGATCAGTCCAAGCCACGAAACGAGAAAAAGACAACTTTCCTAATCTCCAAGCAGATGTTTCGCGATGTTGGGTGGCGTGTTTGATACTGTCTGGCCAATTTGATACTGCCTGGCCAATCTGATACTGTCTTTTGCAGCCACCGAAACATCTGCTTGGAGATTAAACTTTCCCACACAAGCTCTGTCTGTAGGGGGCCACGTCGAGAGTTCTATGCGTTTCTCTTTTCCTTCCGCGAGAGAAAGTAGTCCGTTCCACGGCTCCGGGCGTCGACTCGCCTCACAAGAAAGCTTACTACCGCTGGATTCTACAATCAAATACCTTCCTTATTGTAACTTATTTATGATATTTAGACTTCTTTATTTGCTCCTAATGAATTTTTAAGCCGAGAATGTACCTTTCCCGTTGTGATATCATGACCTATCAAAGATTAGGCAATTTTAGTGCAATTTCCCTGTGTATCTTCACCTTGATGCAGATTTCGCACCCCTTACAGGAAATTTGTCGGGTGAGAAAGAGCAAATCTTAATCTTTCTGATGATATTTGACTTACAGACGATTTCGAGGGCGAAACGGGTTTCCCCCACCCCCAAAATTCGGTGAGGCCACGGCCGGGGGTGAGGCCATGTCACGGGAGCAGGCAGGCAATTTTAGGACTGTACCGACGAATAAAACAAGCTTTGACTACATGCAAAAATTGCCTCTAAGAATTCAGGAGATAGCGTTTCAGAGGGTCTGGTTTTGAAAAGGACGAAGTAGATGTAGTAGGTGTTGGGGAGTTTCTTAGCAGTGTAATAAATGTGGGTTACAGGAAGCAGGCGCTATAATTAGTTGTTGATGTGTGTTTTTTTTTTATTTCCTTACAGATCCTTATATCAGACACCTGTGACGATCGTCTGCGGCAATGACGAGCATGCAAGACACTCTGAGGTTTGTACACGTACTTGACAGTTGACCTTGTTACAAGTTGAGACATGTGTGATAAAAGTGGTAAAATTCATCATCATATTATATCATATCACATAAACTAAAACTTTCCCTTTATCATGGTACAGTTTTCTGTAGCTTAAGCAATGCGGCACATTATGACTCTTTCCCGCTGGCAGGCAGCTTCCACCGATGATGGGGAATCCTCTTACTATAACTTGTATAAACTCGCCATGCCACAGCTCCACGACGTAGATTGTCTTGTTCAAGTCCACGATCTGAAGCAGCATCTTTCATCTTAATTCTTGACATGATCAAAGAGTGCACATCTTCGGACCATGACCGGTACCCGAGAGGTTAGAAACCCTTTTTTTCGTCTCGAAGTATGTGGTTATTGTTGACTCACGGCATTACATTTATCATAACAGATTTGTGCATGCAAACTCTATTATCATTACATTAACACAACTCCCTGACTAATGAACAGTCATGTGGAAGGTTTATCATATTCGATATCAGCATAATAAAAGGAGTACTTTTGTCTACGTGCAGGTCAAGCGGAACCTGAACCTTCAGGAGAACCCGAGCGGTTTGATTTGATTTGATTTCAAATATACAGCCAGGACTGCCCCGGACTAGCCAGACCAGGGGCTATTATAAAAGGCTAGGCTGTTACCCACTTGAACGATGTACTCAGTTAGTCTAGTTTGTGCGATTCAAACGTGGTGAAGGCTCATGTGTTTTAAAACTGAAGAACCGTTGATAAGCAGCCGCGCGCCTGGTCATAACGTGTAGTCGAATTTTTTTGGGGAAGGGGGCGCTTTTTCTAGTACATTGTACTAGTATTTTCTAATAGCCCAAGTTTTCTGATCGCAATGCTCTCCTACGACACGTAACGTTAGTAGATAGTTATCGCCCAAGGCACGAAATACTAAAACTCACGAAATCCCTTTTTGAGGTTTTTAAATTCCTTCCCAGCTAACCAAAATGGAAAGGAATGGAAGACAGATAGTCCACTTTCTCATATGATGCATGGATTAATGAAGGCTAATAGTTTATTGTAACGTTAATGACAAAATATAGTTATTTTTTGTTTTTACGAAGGTGATTATTCACGTACTAGACAAGACACCTGCGTGATACTTCTTGTGTCGTAACAGTGGAGGTCCCAGTTCTCTGAATTCTGATTGCGACTGCCATGGAATCATGGAATGACTTGCATGCAGCACGCGTGACATTCCAGGTGTCTCACCCTGCTCGAATTGTTTTCCACAAGACAAATGCGTCAGCAGGTGGGGACAGAAATGAGTCACGTAGGATTCCCCCTATTATGTATGCAGAAATGCTACCCCATCATTGCATGGTTAGAAAAGTCATGTGATGTAAATCCCCCCATTTTATTGGTGAGACTTATGAAGGGGAATCCCCCACCAAAATTTCCCAGTCTGGTCACATAAATTCACTGCGTGGCAGTTGTGCGCGTTAGTTTTGTCACAAGAGGAGTTCGTAGTCTCATCTAAACTTGTATTCGCCGCCTCTTTATACAACCTAGAGTCGTTCTGACGGCGAATGTGTTACATTCGAGCCGAGTCTGGGACGATTGTACGAGAAAATCAGCAGCAGTTGTTGACCGACCGTCAGCTATTTTCGTTTTGAAATTTTAGTTCAACATGGTTACGCTGGATTGGGACAGTGCGCCAGGCCCACTGGACGAAATCAGACCAGAGGCCAGGAAGCTGTAGAACGCGACCGTGGATTCGGACAGATTTGATTCAGCTAATGATTCTGTGGGTGATACTTGTCTCTCACAGGACTTTCAGAAGTGCTCGCTCCACTCGTCGGAAGACCAAAGTTCACAGCCCGCCCCGGTAGGAAGAGCAGAGGAACTGGTGGAACGCTTGCAGCCGACACAGAGGGAGGAATTCCCAGAAGAAACCTGCAAATCCTGCCAGGACGAGACAGAAGATGACTGTATCGAACCAGACGAGGATCCCAGCGAGGAACTAAGGGAGAACTTGGCAAGAGAAGCCTTCTGCCAAGACCAAGACGGCGACACGTAAGTAGACAATTTTACACACGTGACAATTTTTCGTACTCAGTGAACTGCTTGAGGCAAAAATTTGGCTACGTTACGTTTTGACAAATTAAATCTACCGTGTTTTTGACACAACGTTAAGAACAATACACTCGTTCTCATCAAAATGGGCAAAATAGCGATTTTTAGGGTCGAAAAATCGACGGACAGATTTTTCAGGCACACCCACCTTATTTTTAGGAAATCATGTCAATTTATGATTTCCAAAAAATGACAGCTTATTTATCATAGGAAGTTACCAAAAATGTATGGATTTTCATAAGATGTGTGAGAAAATTGCAGACCGGAAATTATTCCGAAATCATGTTTCCGGAATGTGAAAGCCGCTCGTGGCCTTGCAGAATAACTCCGTAGGAAAAATAACTTCGAAAGCAAAATAAAAATGGTTTATTCAGAAATTCACAAAAGGTACACTAAAAACAACATTGCAGCCAAATAAAACTCATAGTAAAACCGGCTGAATTACGTAGTAATCTCTGAAAATCTCCAAGAAGGGCAGAATATATTGAAGTCTGTTGCCGAGACTGAGGTTTGTTTTTACTTGGATACATATTTTTTCTACATTAGTTCCAACGATTATGTTTATGCGTCGATGAAGGTTAGACATCCAGGTAATACGATATGCCAAAAAACAGTTACTCAAGCAACTGGATATGATTTTGAAAACGTCAGACGTTTCAGCTAGTATCCACTAGCTTTCGTCAGTGACTGAGAGACCAGAGGGGAAAGCAGGTTTATATACACAACCTGTTGATTGATATGCAAATAAAGTGAAGACAAATTTTTGGAAGTCGGAAAAGGAACAAAAGTCAGACAAGTCAAGACAAGATGATGCAAATTAGCCTGAAAGCTCCTGTTATACAGGACAGGAGCTTAAGTGTTGTCTGTCCTCGGGGCTGGGAGTGCCAAATCCCAAGTGCCGGAAAGATCGACCCGTAGCCCCCCTTCCCTGTTGAGGGTGGGGTTGTACATTCTTTCATATATTGCCTCTTTAACACCCCGTTCCCACCAGCGTGTTTCGCGGTCTAAGACATCCGTGGACTCGAGTTTGAAAGAGTGACCCTGGTTGTGTTGTAGGTGGTGGAAAATAGCTGAGGAGTAGCCGTTGGCACTAGGTCGGCAATGTTCTTTGTACCTTACTTTAAGCGGTCGACTTGTCTCTCCGATGTAGGTGTTGTTACAATTGGGCTCCTCACATTTGAGTCTGTAGATAACATTCGCCTTGGTACCCTTGTGAGGTCGGTCCTTAGGGTGTACCAGTCTTTGTCTGAGGGTTGAGTGAGGTTTGAAGTTAGTGGCTATGTTGAAGTTTTGGAAGATCCGTCGGAGTTTCTCAGATACTCCTTGGACATACGGAATAGTGATGTTGGCCTTGTTTTTGTTGGTCAATGGTTTGCACTTCTGGGTTTTCTTAGACTGATCTGAAGGTTTGAGCGCTTTGTTGAAAGTCCAGTTTTGGTAGCCACATTTAGCCAGGGCACCTCGGAGGTGTCTTTGTTCGTCCGTTTTGGCTTGGTCTGAAGTGACAATGTTGTCTGCACGATGGAAGAGAGTTTTGATCACTGCTAGTTTGTGTTCCAAAGGGTGGTGGGAATCAAAAGCCTTGTCTGGCTTTTGTTCCTTTTCCGACTTCCAAAAATTTGTCTTCACTTTATTTGCTGGAATGCATATCAATCAACAGGTTGTGTATATAAACCTGCTTTCCCCTCTGGTCTCTCAGTCACTGACGAAAGCTAGTGGATACTAGCTGAAACGTCTGACGTTTTCAAAATCATATCCAGTTGCTTGAGTAACTGTTTTTTGGATTATGTTTATGGTGTACAAGAACAGGAATTTTGGCACCTTTTTATGTCCTTCAGGTTAGAGGTCTAACATACGTTACCGGTAACGGATGTTATAAAACGGATATTTTGCTTGTTTTCTCCAAAAAGATCTACAGTTTTTAGCTTAATCTTTTAGGTGCAAGAACGCATAAGTACGGGTATTTTAAAACTGGGCAACGTTCTTATACACCAGGTGAAGTATCTGTAACGCTTGGTGGCCAGCCTAATAATGTGTCAAAATATATTATGTGCCAAAATGCATTATGTATATCAACAGCTTTGTACTTCTGTAAACATCTTGCCCGTCTGCCAGTATTAATATGCACCACAAAGAAGTGGCTAGACAAACCCAGTTAACACCTATATGTGGGCTGCCGTATTGTCTACCAATCAAGGTCAGAGTCGGTTATGCGCATAATTAGGATAGCTTTAAAGGCAGGACACAGTCGTGTGTCGTCAGTGATTACAAGAGAGTCTAGGCGGAGTGACTTCTGAGTGTCCTGTGTCCGTTCCAACTGAACAAGTAAGTCCTTAGTCATTTGTCTATAAAAAAGTACACAACGCAGTGGTCGAAATACTTTTTTTCTGTGCTCTGCAATATTGCAGAAGAGTCAAAATTTTGTTCTGCAATTTGGAAATATTTTCTGCAAATACTACTGGAACAACATACTCTAACCGATAATGTCTTTGTTACATCATATATAACTGTTAGCTTTGTAAATTTGTTGCATTACTGTAGGAGAATTTCAGGTTCATAAACATGAACTATTGATTGATATGCAAATTAGTGAAGACAACTTTTTGGACATCCTAAAGGAAACAAAAGATAGACAAGTCAAGACAATTATGATGCAAATTAGTGAAGAAGCGCCTGTTGTTGGAGCTTGTGTTGTCTGTTCTTGGGGCCTGAGAGTTCTAGTTTGCTAAATTGAAACTATTGAATATGGAACCTATTTTTCCTTCTGCAAAATTGTAGATTGTATAAATTTTTCTTCTGCAATCTTGAAAATCTATCTGCAGATTGCAGACTGCAGACAGGTATTTCGAACACTGCAACGCAATGTCCGATTGTTGTCAGGAACTGTAGAAGAAAGGTTGGATATCTTGTCGTTACAATGCTGTGGTTATTTATGATTGTGTTACACTGTGAATAAATACACTCCTCCGAAAGCAGAATCCAGTATCCGAATCGTGCTTGCTTGAATGTTTAGGTAAGCTAACATAGAGCAAAAAGGCTATTGTTACAAATTGGTGCCGTGACCAGGATTCTGCTCCCTCGGTGGAGTGCCATTTGTTCTTTCGTTGATTGTTCTCGTGAGCTTGTGCACCTATCGGTAGTTGTTTATGTCGCTATTTTCATTGGTAGATTTGCCCCGGGTGGTTTTGTAGTTTGTGGAGCCTTGTGAAATCATCAGGACCCTAGCAGATAATCTATTTCTATCTCACGTGGGGTTGAGAGGATGCTGAACAACTTTTTTTTATTTTTCAATGCGTTTTCAACATTCATACAGTGCATCTATCAAACAGTAAAGCATCATAGAAACGCAACTTGTCATTTTACGTCCATTACATCTCTTTACTTAGATTCTCTGTTAAATGCTCAATGGTAAAAAACGTCAAAACAGAGCAATGTAAACTGGAACTGAAACAAGAAGGCCAGTTTGTATAACAAAAACTGTCACGCCCATTGCTATATGTCAAAAAACAAGAACAATATTAAACATACTCTGCTCTGACATTACTTCTATTTTCTAAGATCTTCAAGCCATCTTTATTTTAAAAAAACTGGGCTTTTCCTCAAACTCTTCTCAAATACTTATAACAAAGTCAACCTAAAAATGTCTTCCAGTTTTCTAAAACTACTTCTTGTCTCGTTTCCGCTGAATTGAATCAATCTACGCAAAATTATGTCGCTTTCATGATATCTCGTGTCAGTTTCAAAAAGATTCCCATTCACACCTCAGACATTCATGCAAGGTTGTCCGAAGACACATTAAGTCGTTAGTCGCATCCAAAGCCGATTCGATTCCAAAGTATGTCAGCATATCACAAGTCAAAAACATAAAAATATCTAAAAACTTCGAAATTAAAGCCATACCAGCAACAATTCAAATATATACAACAACAATATCATCGTTTGATATCTTACTTAAACATTGCGAACAATTGAAATTATTGCAGTAAATTAGACTGGTGAAGCGGTAAATCCAGTTTAAAACGTCCATTTCTGTTTAAGCAGTGTTTTTTAGAAAAACTTTAGCTTACAAGAATGATTCAACCCTCTTGAGTAAAAAATGAGCTGAGCTAAAATGTGACAAGCCTGAATAATTACCCACAAATCATTGTATCAAAAAATAACTCGAGTGACGACACGGCACGTGAATGCGTTGGGAGATTAAGCATGAGAACATGTGTAGCGTGTGCCGCCCGGAGTTATCGCGGTTAGAAGTGTTGGGCCTTAACTATGGCTCCCATTGACGACAATTTTCCAGATTTTTAAACCTAAAACCATGAGGATCGCTGGAAAGGTCTCGTTCCAAGGAGTTCAGAACCTAAGTCCGTTTTCGAATATCAGGTCTCCTACTGTAGTTATCGCGGTTAGAAACGTTGGGCCTTAACTATGGCTCCCAATGGCGAAAATTTTCCAGATGTTTAAACTTGCAACCCTGGGGCTCGCTGGAAAGGTCTCGTTCCCAGGATTCCCACCGGGCAGTATTAAGGAAGCTTTGAGGAAGCAATCGGTGGGAAAGAGCTGAACACAAATGCGATCAGCTGACCTCATAGTTGTCTTTCGGTGGTCCCAAGAGTGGTCAATCGGTAGTCAGCTATTTCCCTCCCGAGGCTGCCTTCATTACGCCCCAAGCCTGCCGTATTTCCTACCCACCCCAGCTGCTCGTTTCCAAGCTGAAGGGGATTCCCCTTGGCCGGGACTTTCCGTGGTGTGACATTTTAGTCAGTAAATTTTCCACCGTTTCCTGCAGGTTCGTCCAAACTTCCTCTCTTCTCTGCATCGGATCAACAGAGCAGGTGATTCTTCACTTTATTAGGCAAGTTTTGTATTTATTCTTTGTTCTAAAGGTCACATGGTGCATTCAGAAAACGTATAAAGTACTAGTGATTATTTTATCACATGGAAGAAAAGCTGAGCCAAAAGTGATCACATCTGCCATGAGACACGACACCAATATGATTGTGTGACGTCTGAGTCATCGACTTTTCTTGTAGATTTAGGCCACACCAATTTAATTTCTTGGTTAACGGATTCGCCGCTTCATTTTTTTCTGATTTGCAAATAAAAATAAAAATTCAGAATCAACTGCAAAATGCTCATATTTTGCCGTGAACAGTTCAAAACAGTCCTTTTCATACTTCTTGTAAACGCCCGGCAGCGCCAGGGCTATACTCAGGCCAAAGCCGCTCCGCGTTTTCCAGTACGGAAGGAACGTTCAGTTCTCGGTTTCCAGAACTGATTAAGAGTTTTCCAGTTCTGAAGTCGCCTCAGATCTGGACGCCCAGTTCTGACAGAACTTCCGAACTGGAAGTTCAGTTCGGAAGGCACCTTCAGTACTGAACACCGAGTACTGAGGGAGGAACCCGTTACTTAGGTACTTTTGCGGGGAGAACTCCAGCACTTCCTGTATTGCCGGAACCGATTTCTTGGCACACTATAACTGTGATATGAGTTTTCAGGCGAAAACATTGACCATTAGGCAGGCGTCCACCGAAGTGACTGTACCCCTGATGAGACAGGGTGGCCATTTTATTCGGAGAATAGTCACCAATCGCCCCGTAGTCGTGGACGGCCGAACCTCGGTTCTAGCGCAAGGAAAGGTCCTCACTAGAAAGGGTGAGGTAGCTAGAGTTGGCATTATAGAGCCTGTCACATCTTTAAATCGATTTGGATTGAAGGGTGAGTTAGTAGCAGACGAAGTGAGAAACGGAAAGGCGCACACGTTGCTAGTGAACGAAAACCCAGAACCAGTGCTTATCCCCAAGGGGGTGGTAATTGGCCTCCTGCACCCTTTCAATGAGTGCCCTGCATCCGCTGGCAAACAGGGAAAATATGGGTAACGTCATTTCTAATATTTCTCTCAGCAAGGAAAATGTCCCCTCAACGCCCCCACCCCAGCCTAACAGAAAAGGGGGGGAACCCGCTTCCACAAGGGACGAAATGAAATCGTTGTTTGATTTGTCACACATTGACAGTGCTCACGCCCAAGCGAACCTGTGTTCTAATGGTGAAGTAGTGTGGACTGTAAGTGGACTTAGTTTTGCCAGTGGTGGAACTACTCCCGGAGTAAGTCCAACACATTTTGCCATGTCTGAGGGCTGTTGCCGTGAAATTTGTTGGAACATGGTCCACAGTAAGTCCGTCACACAAATTAAGAGACTAAGTCCACCATGAGTCCCCAGTAAGTCCTGGTCATTAATCACAATTGCTGGGAGAAGAGCCAGCACACATGTAAGAAGGGCCCTCTTCTCTCGATCTCAGGGGTTTATCATGGGAACAAATTGATTAGTCGTGCATGCCACATGTAGCTTGCCCCTTGCCCTCCCCACAAGGAAGCTCATTAAATAGCTTCATGTGATATATTTGTTCTTTTGCAGTAGAATTGGTAGTTCTATACAAACATGTTAACCTATTCTTCGTTAAACTAGAATTTCTTGTGGAAACTCAATGAAGATGACATTGCAAATTGGCATATTAGTGATCTATTCAGTAATTTAATAGTGACAAATGTAGACACTGGGTTGAGAGGGATCAGTAGCAACCTGAGGGGTGACCTAGATACAACAGGGTACATGTACTGGAATGTGCTTCTGAGTCATCAGGAGGCATTGGTTAGGTTGGGAGTGCATGGAACCAATATCTATTACCTATGCTATAGCTATTTCCATTACCAAGCTCTCCCACATGGAAGCTGAAGGACTGTAGTGAAGGAGCTGTTAGAATGCCCTCCTGTGGCCTATTGTTTGTTTAGTAAGGTCAGTACCTAATGCACCATATAATTTGGGAAACAGGGAGCTTCAGGAGAACAGGGCTAGTTTACACAGGCCTTGACTGTTTAATTCGCTTGACTTTCACAATGCACCTTGTATAAAGGCTACTTGCTTTACATTAATCAGTATACTAAAGTAAGTACGCCTGAAAAAGAGAGAGATGACACACTTGGGGAGTTGGGTTGCCAGAGAGTACATTTTGCTGCACTGTAGGAGATACATGTAGATTGTTCATGTGGAAGGCACCTACTTACACAACACATGGGAAGAGGGGACCAAGTTCTCTAGTTCCATGCTGATGAGATGAACAACTGTTACAGATGACATTTAACATTACACATTACAATCTTGAAGGACAACCCCAATATAATAGAGTAACTAATATGAAATCAACTCCAGGTAAAGCATCAGTTCACACACATAATGAAATGACCTCTATGATGAAAACAACATACTATGCCAACAATAATGTGACATGAAACTCCTACCTCAGTCTGTTGCTTTACCAGGCCAACTGGATGTAAGGGCTTATAAATAAGCCAACAATACGGTGAATGAAAGACAAGAGTTTGAAAATTGGACACTTCTCCAAAGGCATTCAGAGATTCTCTTTCTCATACTGCTTTGCAAGCTGCGGGTCAGAAACTACTAGTCAGAAACGGACTCCACAAATGAAAGCAGACTAACTTGCAAGAAAACAAGCTGCAGGAAGCCAGACACCAAAAACTTGGCAAAAATTGATGGGTGCATTATTCATATATCGAGTAAGTGTTCTCCATTATTATCTGTGTTCTTCAGTGTCTATTATCAGTGTTTCTAAACTTGTATACATTTGTACCTGTATGGGTACACAGCCCTTGATAGAAAATTGGTCTTTCCCTTGAACACACAGACAAAAAGGATAGTCTGTATCATGTGACCTGTGTGACCACATCAGGTGGTCTGGTATGGCAGCCCAGTCTACTTAGACAAAGGGGTGGAATTGTCCCTTTTTTATTTGGGTACTGTAAGTGACATTTCAAGTGGTACGAACTGACTCTTCTGGGCAGGTTCCATTCCCTGCATTTCAGGACTTGTATTTGTTACATGTTCCTCTCTTTTGTGGATTAGCCTAATTGTAATGCAGAGGTGCACATTCTTGCAAGGGGGCCCCCAAGCCCTTTTCCGTAGAGCGTAATCGGCCGTTTTAATTCTACGTAGAGCGTAGACGGACCCTCTAATTCAACGTAGAGCGTAATTGGCGCATTTGGCGTAGAGCGTAATTCGCCGTTTTAATTCTACGTAATGCGTTGTAGCTATCGGGAATTAACCGTAAAGCGTAATTGATTAATTGTGCGTAGAGCGTAATCCAGGCCGCAAACGGGAACTCGAGGCCTAGCAAGTTCCGAGTTGTCGCGGCGCTCTAGGTCTTTCTTGCTCTACCCCCTTCTATACAATCGAACAATCCACTAGACTTGTTCCCAGAGCGATACGCAAGAGCAAGGCAACACATGGGAATGATCCCACAGTGCGCTGGGTATGAGATTGACCTTACCATCGGTGACGTACACTAGGACCATTGGCCAAACGCCACAGATGGCCACAGATGAATAGGGTAGAAGGCCTTAGAACCACATGACTTGTAAGGCCCAAGGGCCCTCAAGACGTTTCTTAGCGGGAACATCATTGCTGATCAATGGCCAGGGTAATGGAGGACACTCCCGAAAAGAGCAATGTCATCCCCGTCATTGTGCGGGTGATGGGTAACCGTCAGCAATCGGCAGCTGAGTCGTTTTGACAAATTACGCTGTATTGTTTGCGGCCTTTTCTACCTTCGGACAACAACCCCACAAGGCTCAAAGGTCCACTTTTTGGTCCACTTTTTATCTAAAGGTCCGAGACTTTTCTTTAAAAGACGGACTGATTCGTGTAACCAGCAAGGCTGGAATCCGTCGTAGGAAAACGGTTCACTTTGTCATTGAAAAAGTTAGCTTTGATTTTTTTCTTTGAAACCCTCTAAAAACGCAGGAAATGCCATTTCAGAAGCTTCATTTTTCAAAATTTCCCGGGGGAGCATGCCCCCGGACCCCCCTAGGAACCTCGCGCCTTCGGCGCTCGTTAGTCCCCCCCTTCAAAATCCTGGCTACGGCCATGTTGCCTCCATTCACGGATCACCCTCCGATCTTCGGGCGATCGACTCGCGGTCAAGTTGGTGCCTGCGGTAATACTGAATACCCTGTTTTGTATTCTATACTTTCAATGTATAAGGAAGTGACCGCCGGTTACTACTTTTAATTCAAGTTATGTCACCTCTACATATGATAAATCAAAAGGTTTTCACGCAAACATGCAGTTGCTAGGTGATTGAGTTCTGCATAGTGCGTTCGGAATCTTTCGAATTTAGCGTAGAGCGTAGAGAGGCGTCCGGAATTCAGCGTAATACGTAGCCGGCTCTCAAAATTTAGCGTAGAGCGTTGTCGGGACCCCCCCCTTGGGGGCCCCTTGCAACACAATGAATCTTGCAACTGATGGTCAGAGGCATTAGTTATATATAATAATAAACTAATGACAAGACATACTGTATGTACTTTAATTTCGTGTTGGTTTTATTTCACAGCGAGAGGGAAAATGAATTTTTTAGTGTATGAAGTTCGCAGAAACTATCTTATACTATAGTACAGTTACAAAACACATACTGTATTGTGTGTTTTGAGAATTTTAAAAATCAAAACTATATAAAAAAACAACAACTCGTCAATGGAGAGTTATGTCTTTCAGACAAACACCCAAGTTCCTTAAAAAGGTCTGTAGAAGAGGTAGCCCTCTTACACACCCCACTGTATCTGCATAATGTGCTGTGTAACAGCTTTAGAGATAGAACTTACAGTGATGTCCAAGTGAAAAACTAACAAAATTAGATTTTTCTTCATTTCTTCAAGACATGTAAAGTTGGAGTAATTTTGGCCTGTTCCTGACCGGTCTGTCCAGGTATTAAATAATAAAACATCACAAAAGCATGAAGACTCCATCTGACTACTTACATGTATATCTCAAGTTGAAGCTGTGCAACGCCAAATCAAATTCATTCTAGGACCTCATATGCTTACCTAGTACAATGTACAAGAAAAGACTTTTTGGACATTCGGATGTTACCGTTCACGTAGGTATGCGACATAATGTTAATTGTCACGTCAAGGACTGTTGTGGAGAAATGTTTCATTTCCCACTAGATCCACAAGAAGTCAAATACAATGTATGTTAACCCTTATCAGATCTAAAACACCAGTGTTCAGTCACACATTCATCCCTAGGCTTGTCACAACCTGGAATCTTGAAGTTAGGTTCTGATCTCTGTGGTACTGGTGAGCAAGCAGATCAACAGTCTGATATCATAAAATCCTTCTTTGAATTGAATGGGTATACATGATGTGACCCACAGGTTCACTAGGATTTGCTAACACATAATCTTTTATACAACATCTATCTTTTATAACTAACAGCGACTTTACAACAAGACCTTATCTACAATGTACATGAAATGTACCAAGGATGCTACATGTATATTAACTCCTTGAATGTACAAACCATTGCATTGTTTTAATAAAGAACATCCGATTTCATCAAAACATGATACATATAGATATAGGTAAGTCCAGTATTTTAAAACACCACTTTACAGTAAGTGTCTACTAGTTTTTTTCCAACTTGACATATTTAAGTTACCTTAGTTACAATATAAAAAAAAGTTATACATGTACAGACTGTATGTTAGTGAAATTAAAGACACATCTTTTATACAACCATCTATCTATGATATTAACTAACAGCCACTTTACAGCAAAGACCTTATCTACAATGCACCAAGGATGGTATATAAACTCATTGAATGTACATGTACATACCAAACAAACATCCAATTTCACCAAAACATGATTCTTACATGTAGATATACATGTAGGTCATTCCAGTATTTTAAAACACAGTAAGTGTTACAAATCTTGGCAACTTGATATATCTTAGTTGCTTTACAATATAGAAAAAGTCATGTTAAAGAAATTGAAGGTAAGTCATGTAATTATTACAATTATGATTTTAAAAATAGAAAGTAGCCCAAAGTGCTAACAATAGGAGCCATACAGTCAACATATTAGGCTTATAATACAAGCAACAAATTTTGAACCTTTAGAGAGTTGGAGAAGTGCTCTGCCATGAACAACTGCATTTATAAATAGACAAAAAAACTGTTACAGTAACAACTATGAAGACAAGGACTCTTCAAACATTGGGGCCAAAATATGAGAATTTTGGAGTTGACTCATTATCTGAGTCCTTTCTTTTACAAATCAGGAAAGTGAGGCGAATCCGAGAATCAATTTATTAAATTGATATGGCCTGAGGTACTACATGTAAAACACCTGGCACACTGATATAATGTGATGCATACATACAGGCCAAGGCACCCCATGATAGCCAGAAATGAAAGTCAGCCAGGCTGGTTTATAATTCAAACAATAAATTTTGAACTTTTAATGAAACCAATGCATTGTTACATGGAAAAACTAGGAAGAAAAAGACTTTCTTCAACCATTGGGGACAAAATATGTCTAATATTATTCATTGAGCATTTTTTATTGATTCAGAACCTTAAATTTTTTTTCCTTGCAAATCAGAAAAAAATGGACAGGCGAATCCGAGAAGCAACAAATTAAATTGGTGTGGCCTTAACAATAGGTGTGAATAGTTTCTTCAGTTTCGTAAGTGACACTAAATCAAAAGACACTACTTTACGCAACCAATATAAAAAATAAAAAAAAAAGATCTATTCTTTCTCAAGGTTATTGGGGAGTTCTGCAGTGTAAATGACATCATCAATGGCTATTGGAACTACTTTAGTGATAATACTGTTCAGGGTTACAGCTTCAAACATGTTGGAGTGAGAATATTTGTTTATGTGTGGGACAGACTGTAGGGTGATGTCATTTTGGTTTTCGCCTGCGGGAACAGCCTGGAAGACTTCTATGATGGCGTAGTGCCGTGCTAGTGGTGGGCACTGGCATTTGTCCACACAAGAACACGATTTAGAAGAGTGTTGTACATAGCAGAGCACTTCTCCAACTCTCTTATCTTCCCCGCATACACAACAGTGAAAGAATTGTGTCTGTACACACGTTGGTAAGCCTTCGAGTGGTACATGCTCCCTCTGATCTGCATTCTGTAGGACAGAAAAAAAGCATGTACAATCAGTCATGTGCCAAATACATATGCTACAAAATGTATATGCACTATTTTTGTGCCACAAAAAAACAAAGGAAAAGATCAATACAGGATGGACTACATGTAACTCTCTTCAAATTTCTGTTGACAAATTTTCATGATCAGATTTCTTTTGCAAAACAGATAATTGCACTGTAATGTCTCTGCACATGTAGTTGGTCTACATGTACATGACGTTCTATACAGTGGCTATATTTCCGTGACCATAGATGGACCTTTTATTCCTGCACTGATTAGATGGTGTCAGTGTGTACCTGGGTAAATGTTTTCAGAATTGAGGTTGCTCTCACTTTGAACATCTGACTGGATGATCCTGTCTTCAATGTACTTTATCTCATGATGTATGCTGTAATGTTGCAGGCCTAAACTGAAAATCCCTGATTGTGTTCATGTACATCTCACAACCACATTCTAAATGCATGCAATCTCAATAGTATCTCATCTTTCAAAGTTTAATAGGGAAAAGGGAGGGGGGAAGGGCTGTAACATCTGCACTTCATATAAAGAATCAATTTGAAAGCTATCCTAACCTGTCATATACACACAAGTCTCCTAATGGTTACTGTGTTGCACGCATGATGGCTTCATAATGGGCCATCTTCAGTAGTCCACTCTGGTCTTTGTTGTCTTTCTTCAGGCTCCCCACCGCATAACAGCTGGCTGCTATCTGATGGTAGTTGGACCTGCAAGAATTGAAACATTTTTTATTGTTACTCCATTATTTTCAAGTCAAACATCAACAAATACATCACAGTGATCACACTAAAGCACATTCTCTTTTGTTTTAGGGGATATTTGGCGATTGAACAGAAAATGCATCTTTGAAGCATGCATGTAATGGAACATCATATACTTTGCAATGTAGTTAATATGATGATGATAGTTATGACAGCACTTACTTATCCCAAAGAGCTACAAAATGCACGAGTAGAGTCTTCAACGTGACAGATTTGTTTTGATTAGGCAGGCAATTAATCAATTTAACTAATAATTCAACTAATTTAACTTATACTAATATGTATATGATATCTTTGCCAGTAAATTAAAGAAAGGGCACATACAATCAAAAGTTATAACAGGCTGACTTTTCTTCGGGACTTGTTTGTTTCCAGATTTTGTTAAAGAAGTCTCGGGCAGGTGTCTCGGGCCTGAAACATGTTCGGCTCACTTCCAGGAACTTTTGGATTATAGCCACTGCCCTCATCAGCTGTGAACAGAATGATGAAGAGAATGATATTGTAATAAAAGCAATGACTTGATGTTAGCAATTCAGTGGAATACTTTATCTCCTGCATTCATATCCAGACAAGGTTTACAACCCTATGTTTCAAATGTAATGAGTTCACAAGTTACATGTACAATTCTTTTGTTCATCCATATCTCATGTCTTAATGCAACATGTACATGTACAGTCTGGATTCTAATTGCATATTTTTTGCATAAAATCAATCCTACATTTTATGACACTGACCTGATCAACAACACCATTAGTCCCATGGATGAGATGGGTAAGCTGCCCATTCAGATCTTCAAAAAAGAAACATGAATGGGACTATAAAGGTCCCAGTTCACGCACATTGTCGGCATAGTGCACAAGGCTGTGCACATTGCAGACAACCTCCTGAACTCCTGTAGGATCAAAAGAAATAAAGAGGAATCAAACAAAAGAATTTTTACAATTTCAATACAATGAAGTTAACATTGAAATTTACTGATTTTTTTACTTCCTACCTTAGAATAGATGTGTAAATGTGCTTCAGAGGCCCTTTTTAAGGGCTTGTCCTTTTTGTGCGGTCATTTGAGATAATATTCAAATGCAAATGGTCCATTGTCACATGATAATGACAAGCATCCCCAAAATCACGATGATCCATCAAGTGGTTCTTGAGTTATCCTCCTTTGAATATTTTTCAACAAACGCCCCTGCAGTTCCAGGGCAAGCCACTAGGGGTCCCAAACTCATGTCACTTCTTCCCCAGCCCAGGAGCTATCCCAAATTTCATCACCCCAGCATGTCCATGTAAAGATCATGAGATATCAAAACCGGAAGTTCTACTGCAGTACCATAACAAGCCACCAGAAGGCCCAAAATCTAATCATTTCTAGGTCTCATCAAAATCCTACCCACCTACCAAGTTTCATGATAATGCATACAAACCTTCTTGAGTTATGCTGTTCACAAACAAACAAACAAACGGACAAACACTACTGAGAACATAACCTTCTCGGCGAAGGTAATAATGTACCATGTGTACCATTGTTGCTTAGAATGATTCTTGTTGATAAATACATACCATACAGACTTTCGAACTGGCTTACAAACTGCAGGAGGAGCTGTTCAGCCCTGTCCACGTCATCCTCAGTAATGGACTGTTGCAGAAGGATATGTTGGGCCATCACAAACAGGGCATAATGCTCGTAGTACTTAGGATCCAGGAAGTGCACCATGATTGGCAGCGAGTAATAGAGTAGCCATGCACGAAACTTCGAGGCTGGAACAACAAAATGGGCAAAACATGATTAATGAAGCAACCAGTTCAGTTATTCCGGGGGACCTGAAAAGAGAAAACTCACACATAACATAAGTAACAAATCACACAACTGGATAAATTTCCAAAAGAGTTGGACAATTACAATCATAGCATTTTCATTATCTTTCATCATGGACTGATTTGAATAAAGATTATCATACTGAGTGGTCATGCATCTGAGACATCTGACTTCAGAGAATTCATCCAGTCTAGTCCTTTGATCTGAGTTTGTACATTGGCAGGACATTGATTCCATTTATCATGAGTAAAGCAAAAAACTATACACACAAGTAATCCTATCTAATAGACTGCTTTTTAAGAACGAATTTCCAGCTTTACTTCTAGATGTTTCTGAAAAAAAAAATCATCCCAAAACTGAAATACTATGGGGCAATGAAACTTTATTTTTACGTGCAGATAAATTTCTGAATACCTTTCCAATGTTGAAGATGTCCAGTGATGCTCCTGGGTCTACGGTGAATTTCCATCGGTGGCTTGATATTCTCCAGCATGTAGTCAATTTCGTGTTTTGAATTGCCACAGTACCAATCTTTGTGTTTGTTGGTTGAAGTTTCCGAAAACCAATATGATATCATACGTTTTGCCACACCCAGCAACGCTCCATGCATGTAGTCGATTGCCATGCCTTCCACTATGTCAAAGTGTGGCACCGCTGTTAGCCATGATGATGGGTTTTTAATCCCACATACCTGTTGATGAAAGGAAAAAAATGTGTATTTAATGGCATGAATAATCTAACAGATACTCAAATACGGCATAGTAAAATCCCTATCATTCCTTCTACAATAAAGACTGTCCCAAGGTCCCTGTAATTGTAAAATCATCTTGGTCCAAATTAACTGGGCTTTCCATTAAATCCCCTCATGCAAAAATGGCCCCTTGGAAAATAATTTCCAAAATGAACTTTTCATCTTCACCCCAGTCCAATATAAATTTTCAAAATTTAATCACCTCCAGCAACAATGGACTCTTACAGTGACAATGCCTGGCAGGTAAAATTTATCATCTCTGCCCAAATATGGACTATCCTCAGTCCATTCAAGAATGGACTCTTTCCAAAATATTCCTTTTCGGCATTGCAAAATGCAATTCACAAAAATGAAAAGTATACATTTCTTACATCTTTGCCAGTGTCTGAAGCAGCTGCAGCATGAGCTTTCGTTTCTTCATGGGTGCGCCTTGGTCCCTTTGGGTCGTGCACTTGATATGGCCATTGTTGTTTGTGTCCAATGTGGGTGCCTGGCTGCTTGCACTTAGGGCAGCCACATTTACCATTGTGCTGCTTCATGTTCATGACAAGGGCTTTCGCCTGCAGATCAGCAGTGCAAGCGATCAAAAACACCTTGCTCTTGTAACTTTCTTCGTCCGGTGGTTGGACCTCAATACCTAAAATGAAAAATGAAATGAAAGTTAGGTATCTAATGTGTGAATTTTAAATTTGGAGTCTTATAAATACATTTTGTACAAGCAGGTAACTGAACCTTTATTTATAGGTCATCTCTCTGCACCTTCGGGTCATCGATAGCCTGGGTGCCCGATTCTACACAGTTGTAGTTAACTGGGTCTCCTGTATTCTTCGCCTTGTACTGCTACCTTGACTCATATACATGTATCCAAAGTTGGGAATCTTTGGAGCTAGATTTATATGCCCTAAACTAGGATGCCATCCTTTATTAGGTTAGCACACAATTAAAACCAGTTACAAAATGTAAATCTACTCACTTACATGTATGTTAAGATTTGACATAGCATATACAATGTCATGTACAAATGTAGTTGGTCCAAAAACACACTCAAGTCTGGACAAAAAATCAATTAGGCTCATATTTTGCAGTCAAGTGCTTGACACACAAAGGCAACCCTTCAAAATAGCTTTCATTTTCTATGAAATATTAGCTGAACTTTAAAATTACACTCGAACTACATTTTCAGATGACTCATGATCAACCTTGTCATGAAGAAAAACGTAGTAGCAGGTCAGATAAACTGTGACACGCCCCCAATAAACACACCCCTTATGTCAATATGACTCAGGACTGAATAACATGATTCTTCTTTTTAATTGTCTTTACTGTCTGTGATGATGATACCAGCTCCATGGAGTAATGTTTTGATAACAGCTACATTAAAGATTTGATGAATGATGAGGCCAAGGAAAAAAATGTTGCATTTCCTGTTTTAGGCCTGAAAAAATTAGGGTCAATAGGTAGGGATTATCTTTTTTTATTTTTGTTTAGGCTACTGATCCAATATATACACTTTAACACTAAGTAAAAGTTACATGAGGACACTTATATTTTCAATGTCCAAGTTTTTTTACATGATGTTTTTTACATGATGGTTACAAATCTGTTGATATGCATCCTTCACTAGCCAGGACAAGCAGTTTTCTTTTTTTGAATAGAAAAAAGTCTAGGGTCGGCAGTTTTTTCTAGGGTCGGTCGGGAAAAAGGAAACACAATTTTTTTCCTATGTCTTATTAAGTTCAAATACTATGGTCCATGTGAGTTTTCTTCCTCTAAATTATGTTTGAAGTGAGCCATCTTCTTGCCCAACAGTTATTACTGTGTCTAATAAGGGATACTAGTACTGTTGGGATTTCTATAGTTTGGGATCAACTAAAGATCAGGATCTCATCTGGTCAAGCAGCCCTGGTGTAACACCTTTAGGTAAAACAAATAAAGGCCTTTGACGTGTAATGCAGAGAAACATACATAGGTGAGACTGAACGTGCATCAAAAACAAGATTTCACAGTACATCTGATGCCCATATTGTTCAAGGGGGGGGGGGGTCGTACTTGCGCTCAAGAAATGGAGAGCATCTAAATATGAAAAATATCGGACATACAAAAATAACCCAAATCATAATTTTTCCCTCAAGGACAGGCATACATTTAAGAACTGTGTAACTATCTCAGTGATATAATGTCATGTCATACCTGGGCCGTGATAACATTTGATAGGGCTGTTCCGGCCTGCGTGATAACTAGCGTTACAGCCCGGGGTTCTATTCTAGTTATCACATGGGCTTCCAAATGTCCCATAGAATAATTCGACCGCGTTTTGCGTGCGCAAAGTGCGCTGCTTTCAAAACTCCGGTCCCAGCCCTCCAGCGAGTCGGATATCCCTCCGTCCTTCGGGCGACCCGACACCGTGGTTGGACTGGTAACTCGGGTTATACGGAATACACCGTGCTGTGTTATTATTATTTATGTCATACCTGGGCCCCAATAACGTTCAATAGGGGTGTTCTGGCCCGTGTAATAACTAGCAGTATGACCCGGGGTTCTATTCACACGGGGAACTTCCATTCACACAGGGTTCCAAATGCTCCATAGAATAATTTGAATGCGTTTAGAAAACTTGTACACCAGATTCGGATGTCGTTAAACTTTGTGTCGTTGTTTAGATACACCAAACTTTTTGCACACTTTTTCATTGAAATGTGTTTTTTCTCAGGTGGGTATGACATAAATAAAATACAACACTGTGTTTTTATTTAGGTTCAGGTACAAATGTTAGGTTTGAGGTAATGTACCTGTACCTGAACTAAAATTGTGCAAATAATGGTTGATCTTCAATATAATATATGGGGCAGAACCATGTTTGAAATGATAAGTAACATATTCAATGTGCATGCTGAAGAGCCATTGATAAATGAGTACAGCCAGAATGTGCCATTGGTCTCTACATGAAAAATGTAGTCTACTTAGTTCTACTATAGTCTTAGGCCATACCAATTTAATTTGTTGGTTCTCGGATTCACCTCTTAATTTTTTTCTGCTTTGAAAAAAAAAATTGGAAGATTTTGGGTTTTGAATCATGGAAGATTTTGGGTTTTGAATCAACTCCGAAGGGCTTGATATTTTGGCCCCAGTGGCTGAAGAAAGTCCATGTCTTCCTACATGTAGTTGTTAATTTAAAAGTTTTCCATCTATCAATACGTGGTTTCATTAAAAGTTCAAAATTCGTTGTAACCCAGCCTAAGTATGTTGACTTCATTGTAACATTTCGGGCTATCATGGGGTGTTGCGCAAATTATGGCCTGTTTTTTTTCCGCCCTGTACTGTAGCTTCGTATTTTTTTGGAAAAAAAAGAGAACCCACAAATTAAATTGGTGTGGCCTTACTTCTATTATCATAGCCTGTAGTTCTATTTATGGGTTCACCACACCCCATATTGCTTTTTCTGATGTTTCTTCTCCTTCTTCTTCTCCTGCCATTTTTTAAATGGATTCAGCTTCTTCATTTTAGGGCCCAAGGTCCTGAAATTTGGTATGGAGGTACAGTGGGCAAATACCCCTAGGCGTTTTTTAAATTATTGTGATACAGGCTTTTAGAATGGTTTTATTTGAGTTTTTTGGCTGTGTTATAGCTAATGTATTACTGTGTTAGTGTGCCTTGTTTACCACGTTTGGGCATGAGTCATCACAATGGAATGCAGGGCATCAACCAACAGGCATGCAGCTTTCCTCTATACTTCTTGCTGATTGGCTGTTGGGATTTAACTTGATTAACACCTGCACAGAAGCATTTCCATACTGACAGTATGTCTTTTTGGTAGGTATTTCAAGCTTTCCTGCTCCAGCATTGGAATGCCGGGCATGGACATTTTTTTTTTTTATTTTGAAAATCAACAGTTTGCATTATGCAATTAAAAATCCTAACCAATAAAGTAGGGAATAGCTATCCAACTGTTGTTTTAGTTGTATTTTACTTCATATTATAGTTATATCAATGTAAATCATTGTTTTCCCTTGTGTTTCCCATTCTTTCCCTGCCATGTCGTAAAATGTGGTGAACCCATCGCTGTATTTGCTCCAAAGCAAATATTGGCCTTTCTAGTTTAAATGGATTCAGCTTCTTCATTTTAGGGCCTAAGGTCCTGAAATTTGGTATGGAGGTACAGTGGGCAAATACCCCTAGGCGTTTTTTAAATTTTTGTGATACAGGCTTTTAGAATGGTTTTATTTGAGTTTTTTTTCTATGTTATAGCAAATGTATTACTGAGTTAGTGTGCAGTGTTACCACATTTGGGCATGAGTCATCACAATGGAATGCAGGGCATCAACCAATAGGCATGCAGCTTTCCTCTATTATCCTTGCTGATTGGCTGTTGGAATTTAACAGGCTTAACTTAATTAATACCTGCTCAGATCCATTCCATACTGACAGTATGTCTGTATTCAAGTGTTTTGGTAGGTATTTCAAGCTTTCCTGCTCCAGCATTGGAATGCGGGGCATGAACACTTCTTTTTTTCTTGAAAATCAACAGTTTGCATTATGCAATTAAAAATCCTAACCAATAATGTAGGGAATAGCTATCCAACTGTTGTAGTCTTAGTTGTATATTACTTCATACTATAGTTATATCAATGTAAACGTTTTCCCTTGTGTTTCTCATTCTTTCCCTGCCATGTCGTAAAATGTGGTGAAGCCATTGCTGTATTTGCTCCAAAGCAAATGTCGGCCTTTCTAGTATTATCTTAAATTCTTATTATATAAGTCTTCCTGTAGCACAGTCCATCTACATGGGAGGTACATGTATTTCAATGGTCAGCTAATAGGTGATATGGAATGGCTGATACTGAGTATACACTGTGTTGTCTTCTGTGTGTACAAAACAAGACCGCAGCCTCTACATCAAGAGTCAATTTGATAGACTCATGAAACACAGGGTTACTGTGCTTTTGATAAAGATAATGCATCAAAATAATATCGTACTGCATTGTATTTTGACATTTGGAGAGCTTCAAAGCTTTGTTCAGTGGCGAAACGAAATTTGGCCTACTTTTGGGGACATGTACATTGTGTACACAGTTGTAATGAAACACTAGTAGTAGCCCACAGCTGCTACAACAAGCATTGATTTGACAGTACTGAAGGGTTGGTTACTGGTACTTCTGCCAAAAATAGATTTAGAAAAACATCCTACGTTGGCAATTAACCAAAACACAAATTTTCATTTTCATTAATTTTCTACATGTACATTGTACAAAATGTGACCTACTTTTGGGGAAAACTCTTTTGAGGGGTTAACATGTGTCAAGTACTATCACTGTGCAAAAAGTAAGTTAATCATCAATATTTGAGTGGTGCCATCATTGTTTGATCCTTACACTCAATCATGTCTATCAGTTTTTTATATATTTTACTATTGAGTTTACAAGCTTTATGTGATTAAACTAAAAATCATGTACTGAAGAAGAACGATTGAGAAACATCAATTACTCTTTGTAACCATTCAAATTACTGAGATGTCCTTATTCATATTTTATCATTTGATCAGTTTGTTTTTCGTGAAGATGAAAAATACATGAAAAATTACAGCCTGAAAAATTACAATCTGGAGATCCCGAAGAGATCTTGCGAACGGTTCCATGAAGGCCACCATCTTGGGTTTTAAGGCGCCAAACCACACACCGGCGAAGATCACGTTCTCCCGCTTGGTCCTGAAAAGGCAATCAAAAAGTTTAACATTTAACACACTAATAGTTAAATTATTTCCACTCTTAGTACTCTCTGTACAAATCTGGCCTGGGATGGTTTGACTTTTAATTACATGATCCCATCCGACAAGGACAATGCGACTCTTTTCCAGCAGTGTCCGGACCTGGGTAGATGCTACTATTGCATTGCGCATGCCATAACCCCAAATTGTAGTCCAAACTTAATATTGCGGTACTGTAAATCAATAATTATTTATATGTGTGGTTTTCCCAGTCATTCCTGTACTGCAAATTTATCATTACTGCGAACAAATAATTCCGCGAACATCCACTGTTTTTCTCAAACCGCGAACTTTTTCTACCGCGAATATAGTTGAAACACTCGGGGGCAAGTAGAAACAGAGGCTACTCGGCCGGGAATCGAACCCGTGCTCTCCGGGCGCCGGAGTAATGCTCAAACCGTTACTCCAAAAGGTCCGGACCCATCGGAATGAGTCAGTTAGTATTCTGATTAGCTTGGTGCCACCTGGCTGTTTACAGGCCCAGTTCTGCTACATGGCCAACACAGGACCCCAATTAAATTATACCCCAGTCCCATCCCACTCCCTCACCCTTTAGTTACAATGTAGACCCTGATCCATACATGCTAGCTTATAACTGGCAGGCTATAATTAGCCTTGAGTGTGCTATTGATCTGACATACAGAATAACTAGGCATTACACCATACGAACATGATGATCAATTTCATACTTCCGTGTCATGAAATTCTTAGAAACCGAACTAGCATCGTTATATTTTTCAAACTCAAGTGTGATACCCCATGTCATCAAGACAGTAAGGATTATGCTTTGTGTGCATAATTTTCAATTACAACTTTTGCTTAGTACAGACTTACCATATGATTACTGAGTCAACTTAACTATGATTCTATCATAGACTATACATAACATTATGTTGTCACTAGTTAGTAGAACATTCTTAAATTCTTTACACGTGACTGATGAAACTCTTCAACAATGTTGTCTAGTATTTCAATACTACATACTTCAAAAGGTACATGTAAGGCCACACCAATTTAATTTGTTGCTTCTCGGATTCGCCTGTCCATTTTGATCTGATTTGAAAAAAAAAAAAGATTTTAGGTTCTGAATCAACTCCAAAATGCTAAATGAAAGACATATTTTGGCCCCATTGGTTGAAGAAAGTCCTTTTCTTCCTAGTTTTTACATGAAACAATGCGGTGGTTTCATTAAAAGTTCAAAATTTAGTGTTTGAATTATAAACCAGCCTGGTATGTTGACTTCATGGCTCTTATCGTAACATTTCCGGCTATCATGGGCACTGCCTTTGCCTATTTTTTTAATTTTTATTTCGACCTGTCGGTCCATATTTTTTTCTGGAAAAATCCGAGAAGCAACAAATTAAATTGGTGTGGCCTAGTAATGGTGAAAGTCAAAATTTTCAATGGAAAATAGCCACTTACCAGTGGTAGCAATCTGAAAGGAAACAAGCCATTTTTATTGATTATTGCTTGTCAAGCAGTGTTGTACATAGAAAATCTCTGTGTAGTTAAAAGTGCTGAGTAGGACATTGCTGACAAATCATCTTCTGAAACCTGCTCCTGGAAAAAATTCTTATAATGTGGTTACTTATTCAGTAATGATAGTGATATAGTTGTAGTTTTCTGCATGTATAGACATGTACATCTTTGGTTTGCAGTACACAAAGTGTAAAAGCGCCACCTTCCAACCGACAGCCAAACTGCAGTTTTCAGAATGAAGTCAATAGTTGTCAGACAACTTTGGACTCAACTGTCAGTCAATTTCAGAGTCTACTTTGTGTTTGTTTTGCATTTGTTAATGTTTACAACTGACTGAATATGACAGTCTTGTGTTGGTCCATTTTGATCATGCAAGGATGTGATATGATTATGATAAATTATACCATTCTTTTTTCAGCTTTCTTGTAAAAGCAAAAGAAATATAACAGGGCAGGGGTAACAAACAAGACTGATCCTTTTGAAGACCCTTGTTGGAAAGTTGAACCATAGTTATGATACTTCAATTAAGGTGACGACCTGGTTAGATTTTTAATTACCAAGTTGCAAGTTCGTCTTTGCATGAAAATTTTTGTGAGAAGGCTGGTTCTTGTGAACCCAGTTTCAATTCTATATTGCCTGCAGGAGACTTGAAAACTTGCACCCGCCGTCGAAACGGTTTACCGCTAATTGGCTTGCGTTTCAAATGTATACCGCTAGGGGCGCAAAAAGGTCATAGGTCGGGGTCAAAAATCGCTGTTGTTTTTGTACCTTTGTATAGAAAATGGTGTACAAGCGTGGAAGAGAACGTAACCTGCGGGCACTAAGGGCGAAAATGCGTCACCGAGAAAGGGTTCTGTGTCTTGGGCTAGCGGTAGTAGCCGTGATGAACGCAGCCTCGGCCGTGGAAAGGCCTGTCAGTGGAGACGCGATCGAACCCAGAAGAACTCGCCCCAGCTCCCCAAATCGGAGGACTCCCGTTTCTTCAGTCGACTAGTAGAACTCGAGTTAGGGCATAGCAAGATTTTGCATTTAAAAAAGCGACACAAAGAAAATAAACCGACAGTTCAAAACTTTCACTTCCCGTGCTACAAAATCCACGCCGCGGAGTACCCGGATGTATGCCAAAACCGATTCGCAACCGCGCGTTCATGATTGCGATTCGACAACGCGAAACATTTCTGTATCGTTTCAGACCACCTCACAAGGTGGTTCAAAATAAATCGCAACGGAACCGTTTTGGAGCGTCCATGTTCCCATATATATCGATTTACTTTTTTGAATCGATTTGATTCGCAACAGAAATTCAATCATAAACGGGGCCAAACAATATAAGTGTGATGAGTTTCGAGTTTTTATAATGAGTTTTGGAGCTATGATTATGAATTTAGCATGGCTGTATTCTCAGCTCTTTCACTAAGATCCCCTTTGAAGTTTAATTACTAGTAAATACTTTATTTAATTCAAAATTATGATCTAGCTTTCTAAGTAACAAGCAATACCATAACCCTGCACTGCCATTAGAAGTCTTGAACTATGAAAATGGAGTCTGAATTACTGGAATATTTGATATCATTTTTGGCACTATTTCAATCATTTTGTTTCTGCCAATGCATTCTGGAATATCTTTGAAACTAGTGAAATACCATGCAATTTTTGATGCATGGTATGCAGTCTACTTGAATCAAGGCCTTTTTTGGGTCTGACAGAGACAGATATCTGACCTTTTTTTTTTCTTTCCATTTTTTACAGTGTAAATTCTAGTTGGTGCTCTAGGCTGAAGCAGTACTTGGTGACAGCCAACAAACCACTTGGAAATATCAAGGTGAAATGTCATTTATTCCATATTCATATTCATGCCCAGTCCGTTTTTTTGTTTGCTAAATGTTTTTTGTTTGCTAAATGCATTAATTTAGATGAGTGGAAGGGTACGAAAATCATGCTGTATTTTATCTATATCTACACAGTCTATGTTTACTAAAACAGACTCTTTTTTTGTTCGTAGGTCAACATCAAAACCCCAGCAACAAGTAGAACAAGTGAATTGCATCCCAGAAGTGGTAACAATGAGTATCGCAATGAGTGTTCAAAATCAGGTGATAGAAAATCTAAACAGTGGTGGATGTCTGTCCATGTCACAAGGTTCCGCTTCAGCCTCTGCACCACCCGGGCGTGGCCAGTATCTATGGCAACAAACAGTTGCCGGGGATACGGCCACGCCTATGCATGTTGGGGAGCCAGCACTGCTAGTAACTTCTAGCAGAGAAGCTTCTGCTGTAGATTGCTTAGACCAAGTAGAGTCGAGTAGTAGTGCTTGCTTCACAACGAATGGTGCAGAGGCTGGGGCAGAACCGAGTGTAAATGCCATGTATAGTATGGAAATCATTCGACTAGGATCATTTAAGCATTGGCTTAGCTCGAGCGCAGATATAAACCCTCGCAAATTTGCAAAAGCAGGACTATTTTACACTAGACAAGGCGATACGGTACAATGCTATCAATGTAGGAGAACGTTCAGTGGATGGCTAGATGGGGACATACCGCTTCAAAGACATCACCAAGAAAGCCCAGACTGTCTATTCGCCAGAGAACTTTACTTGAAAGACAATGAAGCCCAGCGATCTCAAAACAACACCTCTTCACAGCGTAGAGGTATTGATGTATCAGACAATGCCACATCAAGCATCGTTGCACCACAATCCTCTAGCAATGGAAACGATGCTCCAGACTCCTCTTGTTTACAGTCAATGCAAAGATTATCCATACATAATGTAAACACAAGTAGTGGTAATGCAAACACTGCAAGTAGTAACACGGCATCTGATTACTACGCATACGACACAGCCGCAACTGCAAGGAATGTAAAACATTGTGGTGAACACTGTCCGAAAGACTTGAACACGGAGCTACACAGGATACACACGTTCTACGGATGGCCAGAAAGCACACCTGTTAGACGAGAACATTTGGCAAAATTCGGGTTCTTCTATCTGGGGGTGCGAGACAAAGTGGAGTGCGCGTTCTGCGGAGGGGTGCTCCACCAATGGGAGGAGGGGGACGATCCGAAGAGAGAACATGAGCGACATTACCCACACTGCCCCTTCATACGGAACTGTGCGACCTCTAATGTACCACTGGACGCCCCTGATGGAGGTTCAACCGATGATCAACAATCTGAAAGGTACCTTTACTTTTTGCTGTCCTGTACTTTCCTGTGTACTTCCTCATCCAGAAAGATCATGGCTCCAAATACCCATCTACAACATAACCAAATCTTCCAGATGAATTTTGGAGAGGGTAGAAAAAAATACAAAGAAGTTCCAATTTGGCAAGCTTGGAAAATACTGGCTTTATGTTATGATTCTTGTATGCATTACCTCAATGAATAGTTTGAGCCCAATTCTTTGAAGGTAAAGTAAAAGGACCATTTTTCAGACAGTGAAACTGTGTTTTGCAGTCTAAGATCATATGCCATGTCATCCAATGTTGTATATTCGATTTTTGGTAGCTGAAGGTTTATACATAAGGCATTTTTTAATTTGCTATTGTACACATGCCTTTATGCTTCCAGTTACTGAAAGTGTGCTATATATACAGTGTCTATATATGCAGTCTAAATAATAGAGTCATCTATGTTTTAAAGTTAAAAGCATTTTTTTTTTGCTCTTTTTCCAAGACGTGGTCACACGGAGAGCGAACCGGCACCGCCACCTCCCGGGGGAACGGACTGTCCGAAGCACCCGGAGCTTTCGTCAGAAGAAGACCGCCTGTCCACGTTTTTTAGCTGGCCCCTGTACAGCCCCATCTCACCACGCAAGCTCGCCCAGGCCGGGTTTTATTACACATGTAAGTACTTAGTAGGCTAGTAGCATAGACTGTTAGTAGCATAGACTGTTAGAAGTTAGACAGCCTTTCCACGTTTTTCCGCTGGCCAAAACTCGCACAGGCCGGATTTTTTACATGTAAGTAACATGAACAGGAGGGATGTCACCACTATTAACTCTTTTCATGCTTCCTCTGAAAGCTGAATGTTTTAGTTGTAAGTTCTAGTTTAACCTTTATTTCCAATTCTAACCATGTTGCCCCCCCCCCTTACTTCTCCCCAGATATCGATGACCAGGCGAAGTGTTATTGGTGTGAGGGAGAGCTGAAGGACTGGCAGGCTGGAGACGACCCGTGGACTGAACACGCGCGCTGGTACGGGGAGGAGTGCGGCTTCGTGCTACGGGAACGCGGCATTGGCTACGTCCGCCAGATCAAGAACACCTTCCCTTCTCTTGTGCAAGTAAGTACAGATTTTAAAGATGACCATATATACTTTGTACTCCAAACATACAAGTTACAAGAGGAAGTGTGGTACAATGTAGCTCCTGGTGCAGCAAGTGGGAAAGGGGACATAGACGATTTAGGTAGTGGATGCTACCTGAAACGTCTGACGGTTTCCAAAATTGTATGCAGTTGCTTTAGTGCATGATTTGAAAGATCATGTATGTTCTAAAACTTTTTTTTCCGTCATTTCCAGGTGGTCCATCACCATTCACAGCAGGACTTTGTCCAAGACTTCATTGTGGGCTCCGCAAACGTAACGATCCAAGTAGGAAGCCTCGACCCAGAGGACGAATTCGAAGAGCGCGTGCTAGACGCCATGGACTCGAGAGTCGTGAGAAACGTGGTAGAGATGGGCTTCGGTCAGCAGAACGTGGAAATCGTGGTACGAAGACGTCTTCGCGCGCGAAGGGGACCTTTCACGACCATAACGGACCTTGTTGAGTCTTTGCTCGCGATGGATGAACGCGGTGAGGACCAGGGAGACAACCCGGATGCTGAGGATGAAGAGGACAGACACGCAGAGGGGCCAACTCTGACCGGAAACCAAGAGCCAGAGGAGGCTGCTGCTGAGCAGATGGAGGAAGAACCAGAAGAAGGTGGGTTTGACTCAAACACTAACACTATGGCTGGTCAACTGCCTGGAAGAACCAGCTACCTCCAGTTGTAGCTTAAGAAAATTTAGAGCTAGCCTCTACCGGGCTTCAGAGATGGCTAGAAAGAAAAGAAATTAGCCAAATAGATAACATGTCAGGGGAGTTGGTCTGCTAGAGAGAATAATAGAGCAGAAAATTCCTTTAATGATTCTTTATTGACACAACAAAAAAGTACAGAGACTTTTGTATGGTCTTCTACAACTTAACTAAAGATCTAACAAAGCTAAATACATGTGTGGATAACGTCATCTTACGTACAGAGTATATGTATGATGTAACAATAAAGGTTAACTATTCTCTAACATGTGGTCTCTAAGATCGAAACATTCTTTAATGTATTTTCCTATTTGAACACTGTATTGGTTATCTCCCCTGAGAATGTAGTTGAATTTATCTATAGCATCTAACGTATTGAAATCAATTGAACAAGCGGAAAGAAAGGTGAACAGCAATAGGCGCTTGTCATTTAATTGACTAACTCCCCTGGCATTTTCACTGTTTGTTTGGCCAGTTCCTACTCTTTCCAGCCGCTTCTGAAGCCTACTTTTATTGTGTCTTATTTGGCAAATTTCTACTTATAAAGGAGGAAGCAGCCTTAGACATATTTTTGCACATGAAGCAAAGATGTTTTGTACTACATTTACTTGCATAATGGTTGCTGGGAAAGATTTCTTTTTCATGTGGTTTGATATTCTGATCTTTGATTTATTTCAGAAACGCCAGCTTCAATGGAGGAACTTCAGCAAAGGCTCAGGCGAATGAAAGAGGAGCGTATGTGCAAAATCTGCATGTCTAATGATGCCACAATGGTTTTCATTCCGTGTGGACATCTATGCTGCTGCGAGGGCTGTGCTCATTCTATGAGATCTAGAGGTAGAAAGTGCCCAATATGCCGAGCTCGCATCCTTAAGGTGCAGAGAGCTTTCCTTGCCTGAAGATATACAGTCATGTACAAATAAAGTGTCTCCAGTTCAGTCTGTGTGTTCAGTTCTATTATGAAACAACTTAAAGCCACTTTACTAAACATCTTTTCAAGGCTATAACTGTTAGAGTTTACAAGCTAAAAGTACATTGTGTCTACAGTAGTTGCAGTAGTGCACAATGCTAATGATGTAGTAAGGTGGCTGTTACATGCTACGAAGTCTACCCTTATGTCTATCCAAATAACGACTTGTGCTGAATATAAAATAAACATGCTTCCATCCATAAGAAGGGTGTGGCTATGGTTACGTGTAAGGACCCAGTCACATGTCACGAGGTATGTGACCGCGTCGCTTTTGAACCGTTGAAATGGTCTTTGTGACAGATTTGGCGCCAAACCGAACACGGAAAACCGTTGAAGGGGGATTCCCCTTTGTGCATGTGATGAGTGCGTGCACACATTATTGCGCACACACTATTCTCCAACAGGTAAAGGTCTAACCAACTGTAGCCTGGCTTTCCCCCCGAAGAAAGCTGCGTGTACACATTTGCATTGGCTAGTCTCCAAGTTGGAAGTTAGCCAAATGTATCTCTGGGCGGTTAACGCCATTCCTTTGAGTTGGTCCCGTGATGTTTATTACAGCGAACGTACAACGGTTTCTGCACCGAGATTGTGCCAACTGGAGTTGAAAAATGACCATAGCAATGCGCCCAACTGGAAATTCCACAGTTAAGGGCACTTCATCATTTGACGCTTTGATGAGGATGGTAACAGATTATCATTTTACACCAATAATAAATAATCTTTGTGTATTGAACTCTTTGTGTCATACACTGCCATACATTGCAGTGTGTTGAGTACTCGATTTATTTGGTATATGACTTCGGATTGTCACATGGTTTTCCTTGTGTATCTATAGAGGTTTAGTACTATGATAAGTAGATCATTTCGTCATAGGTGCCGAAAACAGAAGTAACATGCAATAGCCGTAGGCCTTCCTATTATGTGTCGACATCTCAGCCTCTGTTTCGTGTCGTTCTGGTGGCTGTTCCTGTGGAGAGTGGAACTGTGATGTTATACCTCCGACATTCAGGTATCATCTCTCTGCTGTGATATTAAGCAAAGTCAGTCGACACCCCTCGAACTCTCTGTATTAGACTAGTCCATATTTGAATATTAAGTAGCTCAGTCTATTAGAGAAACCCAAGACTCTAGTTCCTTCTCTTTCAGCCTGGCCTGGACTCCAGACTGAGCACATCCACGTTTGTACCACTACTAACCCTTCCGGATTAAAGCATCTAAAAAGACACTCCAAAGTCTCGTCCAAGTACACTGTCAAGTTCAAGAGCACAACAGTGTGAACGCTAGGGGTTTTGGCCGGGTTAATTATTTAGCGGTTTCAACCGGTTTTTAAAAGTCTGGTCTGAACGGGGTGAAAGTGGTATCAAAATGCAGTGAAGGGGGGGGGGGGGTCACTGAAGGAGAGGGGTAGCCGTATTAGATGCCGAGGCAGGCAAACGTTAGAACGAACAAACGACTAAAGACAAAACCGGTAGAAGCACTGCCAACCCCGGCGAGAGGTACCGACCAGGGTGGTAGGATAGACGAAGTTAAGTAAAGTAGGTGTGCAGCGAAGTGTTAGGGAATATGTTTAGGTAATTTTAGGGAATATATTTTTAATTAAAATTAGTTGTATGACTAACAAGAATTTGTGTATTGGGATGCAATCTTAGGTAAAAAGTATATTAATATACGAAGTTAACTACGCAGGGTAAAAGTTTACGTACCGGGTGTACACGAGAACAACCCAGACAGCGGTCTAGACCAGACGTATGTGAAATCTGAGTTGGAAGTCAGTACAGGCGGTACAGGAGTCAGGAGTCACTTCCTACAAGTCCCGCAAGAGGGAAGAGTGGCATTGACAAATTGGGAAAGTCAAGGGTAGGGCAATACGTACTGTCACGAACGTATTTCGGGAGCCACCTGCACGGTTCGTAAGTTTGATAATTTTAAGTCGGCATAATATCACGTACCAGACTGGTGGGGTTTTGTGTTGCGTGCTCTGTTTCATCACACAAATCCAGCCTAGCCACGAGAGGGACCAGTCCTCAGCCCTGCTTCGGGTGAGGCCAGTTCTGGTCCAGAGATGGGAAGTTGTCCCGCTAAGCAACAGGGCTGGACGCGGAGCAAGGCGTAGAACTGACACTAGACACGGATTCCAACCTGGTCGAAGAACTCACACCTGGTGTAAATGCCCTTCCGCGCGGGGGCGCGCGGACATTGACGCGGACTGCCAGAAAGCAGCGACAGCGGGCTATCAAACTGGGGAAGAACGCGTGCCTGGCGGGGAGGCCTCTTCGCGCTCAAGCGTGGGGACGGAACCTGTCGTGTAACGTCAACACCAGACCCCGACCTGTTAAGAGAGCCAGCGCAGGACCAGATCGCCATTCCACCAGCGAAGAGGAGAGCTGCCGAGCGAGGAATTCCCCTTGAGCAGTTATCCAGACCACCAAAGCGCGTTAACCTAGAATGGCGGACTCATCCGGGAGAACCGACGCCGTGCCCGACGACGGCGGCATCGAGGAGTGGGGGACGGGCGCCCCGAACGTGCTCAACGGAGATGCATATGGCCGCGTACACACTCACGGACCGGTAGAACGGGACTTGCGGTCCTGGGACCAGAAGGCCCAGGCCGCGGGGGTGGACACCTGGCCCGCCGATCGAGACCTTATGCGGGAGGTGTACGCCTGATACAGGCCGGCTGCAGAAGGCGCACGCCTACCTCCGTTGCAAGGAGGGGGAGCTGCTGCGAGCCACCCGGGGCCTGACCCGTGTGATGGAAAAATTGGAGGAGGAGCTTGCCGGGGGCCCCGGGTTCCCGAACTTGTTCCGGCTTCTCTGAAATGACGAGGACGGGCGCCGCGACGTGCCCACCCCGGCGCCTGATCCGCGCTCCCATCCGATGGAGGCGATCGTGGCCTCATTCGAGCCCCACCCCCGCTTCGACATCGTCGCCCAGGTCCGGGCGTACGTCGCCCAGGTCCGGGCGTACACGGAGCAGGTCAGGAACCTTCCGTGGGTGGTGGAAGAGCTGAAGGAGCGCGTTAAGCAGCGGCTCGGTGCGTTACCAAATCACGACCACCACGTACTCTATTATATTGCCCGAGGGTTGGGCCGTGGCACTTGCACATGGGAGGAGCCAATTCACCAGCGGCCGGAGCTGTGGACCGCGCCGGATCCCATCGGCCGGGCTGAGCGGGAGGCGCCCGAGTAGAGCAGCGCCCGGAGGGAGAGAAAGTTGGACTTGAATGTAATGTGAACTTTTGAAAATGGACATTTCTTTGGACTTGAATATCAGGTGAATTTTTGAATATGGACTAGACTGTAGACACCAAGACCAGGTAGGAAACCAATCTTGAATCGTATCAGTCTAATTAGGTTAAGGTCCAATTTTGAACTGTATTAGTTTAATGGTAGTTGAAAACCAGTTTTAAATTGTATTAATTGCCTGATTACGGTTGAACAATGTAAGTCCCTTTTTAAATAGCGTCGGGTATCCGGGGTCTTTAGGTGGGTGACCCTCAGGGAGTTGCGACCCTGCCCAGCCCAGGCTAGCTATTGTGTAAAATCCCACATAGATAGATGGTGCCGTCACCATGGTTAGGGTTATTCTGTGAACTTGATATGTCCTGGTGTCGTGTGGCGCTGGGAGTTCTATCCCTGAGTCGAGGTAGACAAACTCCTCTCCTTCCAGTGCCTCCTCTGCGTTTGTTAGTAATTTGATGAATGATTCATCTGTGGCGTGCACCCCTTTGCTGTGGACCGTGGTTCGTTGTCCTTTGCGACTTAAACCTCTTAAGGGAAACATGACGGCAGAAGAGGGCTCAGTTAGCGTCGTCTTAGGTTTGCCTCTACCGTTTTGGGGATGTCAATATCGTCTTTCTCTAGTTCCTTGTTTGAATTTTGGCCGTGGGGCCTAGTTTTTTAATATACGGCTTCCACCAGTGCTCCTGTGGTGCCCTGCTGAGCTGCGAGGCGGTAAACAGGGTCACAGGGAGCCCGTCCTTCCCGAATCGTATTGTGTAGACAGTTTATTTTTAGGGTGCGGCGTTGTGTAATTTTGATCTGTGTCTGTGCCAACTTAGAGAAGAGACGGATAGGACCGACATGAGATAAACACGTGCACCGTCAATCTGTACTCGCGTAATGGCTCGTCCTTAGCCTAGCACTAGAGTTGTTGTGGTGGTACCGGTGACTCCCTTCCTTCCCTGGTCAGACTCTTGTCTTGGCAGACGATCGGGTCTCCCTCATATCCACTGTCCACAGGTTCCGACAGTGCCCTGTCTGGTGACCGTTGTTCATAACTGTCTGCGGCAAGTATCCTGCTCCTGTGATTTTCTGAACGTTTTCCCCCATCGCCGACAGTCCAATGTTAGGTGATTACGGGTCCAGTAGATCAAGTTGACACTGGTTTGCTCTGTAGTAGCCATCTAAGTCGCCGCATAAGTGACACTGATTTGCTCTGTGGTATTTGCCCCTGTGGACACCGATCAGAGTATCGATCGGAGCGTAAAAGTAGCTCCTCCCATTGAATCCACAAATGTTGCCATTAGGCTCATCACGTCTGCGGGGCGACGCGTCCTGTCTCTGCGCGGACGGGTCTTAATTCTATCTTGTTCGGACTAAAACGTGTACGACCATATGTTATATGTTATTTATATGTTGTTTAGTTTAGTAGTATTTAACCGGATTATGCAGATAGTTAATTTTGGTATTTACTTGTATCCTATGTAACCATATTTATACTTTTGTAACTGAAATATAGTATTTCAAATACATGTATTACGCAAATGATGAAATCTTTTCTGGTGTTGATGTTAAAAATTGACTGTGTTGACTAATTGTAGCGCCGAGGATGACGCTAGTTTAAAGCAAGGGGGTGTAAGGAGGGGCCCCCGATTGTAAGCTACTTCTGCACTGTGACAGACATGTTTTCGCAACGTTCGGTTACATATTCCTACTGTAGTTACGCTTCAAAGGCACAGACGGCTCTGAAGTTGATCTTGGTAACCAGTGTACCTCACGTTGATGAAAGTCGGTTGTTATTTTTAAGCTGTAATGACAAGTTGTTCACTCCGGAATGAGACCGTTGTAACCTGCAATTACTCACAGCCATTAGGTTCGGTAGTCACTGCTGTCGAACCGGTAACCTGACAATGTCATGATTGTTAGACAACTGGCAGGCGGTGAAAGAAGGGAAACCTTACCTCCCCGCTCAGAACATGGGTTATCCCACTGGTCGATCCCCTTCCTATAACCAAACTATGTTTATCGAAGATATTGGAGATTGGAACGGTATTGTATATTGGGAGGGTTTTGAAGCGTCGGCACCCGGTTCACCGAAAGGACGTGGACTCGGTGACGTTGACCCGAAAGGTTAGCAGGTAATCTCTGAAGTGAAGGTTAATCGGAAGAAACGTGCTTTTTCACCATATCTTGGCACGCTATATTCCAGCAGAAACCCTTCAAACCGTTGATTGCTTTTACCCAAATTGAGTTGTTTTGGCCAATCCGTTACTAAATCTATAATTGGAAAGGACAAATTTGGAATTGGGTGGAACCCAAGCTTCTTAGGAATAAAAGAGGAAAACTGTGAGAAACAGAGAGGAAAAAAGGCGGCTCCCGCGGAGTCTGACGCACGGGGAACCCTTAGCGACTTGGCGACCACCTGTTAATTCGGACTCAGAACTTTGCACCGATGGCCAAGTTAGCTGTTACGTGTCAATCTGTGAGGAGGAGGCGGGAACTCACGTCTAAAACAGGTGCAGACATGGAAGGGTACAAGTTAGAACACATTCGTTTCAAGGGGCGGACATACTGCAATACTCATAATGGGCGCTGGAGGGCGCTACCAAACCGACCTTCGCGTACTAACCAACAGAAAAGAAAGCGGGTCCTTCGGATAAAAATGACTAGAAGATCCTCAAATCGACATTTTATACGGTGATACGAATGTAGGAGAAAAAAGATAAATCCAGTTTGTCGTATCGTGTCTTAGATGTGATATTCAACACTTTTGTGACCAAAAATTTACAATCTACTCGGACAGGAGTGACTCGGGATCAAACAACTTCTATTTGACTCCATGACTCTACTCTACAACAAGGAAGTGCTGTGAACCCTCCCACGTGACCGTGCTGGCCAATCAGAACGGTGGGTTTTGCAAAACTTTCCTTTAGAAAAAATCGTATATCAAGGGATTTTTTGCTTTCTATAGCAAA